CACTCTTGCTCAGGCTGGTTTCGAACTCCTGACCTCGAGCAATCCGCCCGCCTCGGCCTCCCAGAGAGCTAGGATTACAGGCGTGAGCCACCGCGCCCGGCCCTCATTCCCCTTTTGACACTCATATCCTAACTTTTTAAGGATTACATCTATAATATTTCGAATCTGTTTTAATTTGAATGTGTATATCAGTTTGCTGAGCAATTGTTACTTGGCAGATCTAGTGGGGATGCAAAGATCAGTATGACACGGTCCTGCTTCCAGACCAGGGGTCTCCAACTATGGTGAGTTGTGTAATTATCCACTATATATTACAATGTAATAATAACAGAAATAAAGTGCACAATAAATGTAATGTGCTTGAATCATCCTGAACATCTCCTTTGTCCTGGTCTGTGGAATATTGTCTTCCATGAAAATAGGTCGCTGGTGCCAAAAAGGTTGGGACCACTGCTTTAGACTCTCAGATGAAAAAAGAGATGAACACATTCTAGTAGGGCTGTAATCATGGCAGGCAGACAGTCCTGAGGGAGGAAAAGTGGTTTTGCTTGGGATAAAAGCTTAGGGCAGTTTGTTGAACCTAGGAAGAAGAGAAGGGGGAAGCTGCTTGGCGGAGAAGACTGATGTGGAAAGCAGGACAGCACGAAGCCAGCGGGACCTGCACACACTCACTCGAGAGCGGCTTGGGCTTAACAACAAAAGCACTGTCAATCCTCAGCACGTGATCTAGGACTTCGTTGAACAGGACCAGAGGAACGTCAAGTTCTTCTTCATAGAAGACTTTCAGCCTAGCTTTGACATAATCTCTTAACTCTTCTTGGTCTACTGGGATGTAATCCTATAGAAAAAGAGTAATACTCAAATTACTTAGAAAAATCACTTTAGTTATTGACCAAAGTCAACTGACTATTTCACATACCATGAATGTTGAAAATGCAAAAAAAAAGATACCATTTATGACATAGCAACAAAAATATATCTTAACTAGAAAGGATCTGAAAACATGAAAAACGTTTATGGAGAAAACCAGCTGGAAATCAATTGCTCTGGGAGCAACTATCAGACGGAGAGGAGAACCACAGCAGCTGCCAGCACACGCCTGGGATGCTCTGCCTAAATTTTCCCCTCTGCAAACGCTTAGTGCATCCTGTTGTAACCTCAGCCTCATCCACAGTGCACGTCATGGCAGAGATTTTTTGATTAGAAGATAATCCTAACCAAAAGGATAGAAGAAAGGAAATATTTTTGAAATAATGCAAATTTGTTACCTTTGACAACAGTTGCTGTACAAGATGGGCCGGTTCATTGCTTTCTCTTTGTCTATGTTAGGAAGTGCTTCAGAGCAAACCATGTCGATGTTTTCGTCAGTCCAACGCCTCTCCTCATCCTCCCAAGTCTGTAGGAAGGAGAGCGGCCAGGCATTAGAGGAAGCGGGCCACGGGAGCAAGCCGTGCTGGCTGGTGCTACGGCTGCTCCGAGGGGCTGCGGTCAGTCTTTGTCATAATTCTCCTTTTCTACTAATGGAAGAACCTAAGAAGCTGAACTCATGACAGCTTAAGCATCTGAAAGTTTAATAATAATACCAAAAATCTCAGAACTATGGCACCATCACAATTAAAAAACTCTCTAAAACGTGTAATGATTTAAAAAATGGAACATGATATGCTAAATGGTAGGCAGAATAGTAAAAGACAAAAAACATAAATAAAAAGAAAAGAAATTTAAAAGAATAAAAATAAATGAAATATAACTCTGGTTTCTAAGTTTGCTTAATATAAATGCTCCAAATATTATGAGCCATTAAGGGAACAGAAATAGGGAACTGCAACGTGTACAGTTTGGAGGTATAGGGCCTATAAAGAAAACCCACAAACAGATGAGACTGCGACTGTCCTGACACGTGGTGCCTGAGAAGCTGGCAGTGGGAGCGGGCGCTACGCAGGCTACCAGTGAAGGTCCAGTCAGGGCAGCTACATGGCTTCTGAAGCCATATGAACTCATAAGCACAACTGTTACTGTTACATTTGGATCCAAGCTGAATTTTCTCTCCTGGTATTATGGGAAATCTGTGAAAATTATAACGTGACTCAATTTTTATTAAAAAAAGGGAGAGTAAAGATAGCTCACAAACCAACGTGATAAAGGAGAACTCTAATACGGGAATACAAGCAGGGTGTACGGCCAATGGGCTCCTCGCCACCGCCTCAGCGGTCTCTGACAGTGAGCGCTCTGTGAGGACCTCCATGGACCAAGAACTTCAAGAGCCTGGTTTAAAAAAAAAAAGACGAGAGGCTGCCTCATGGTCTCCACTCCCTTCCACCACTAGCGTGGCCTGGCTCAGATCTGGGTAGCCCAGCCTTGCACGGCCCCTAGCTCCGAGTGCTGAAAGATCTAACTGAAAGAACTGGTTAGACTTGGCTTCCCTCACCTGTCTTGGAAGAGACGGAGGGCTTCGTGTGCCCAGATGCGAATGAGGCCTTCAACAGGCAGAGTCTCCAGGGGTCTCAGTGCTTCAAAGATCCCTCTCACCCACCTCGTCATTTCACGGGGCGAATAGATGTAGTGGGGTTGTGTGTCCTGAGTGAATCTCTCCTGTGGGAAAGGGAAAAATGGGAGTTACGTGTATTAATAAAGACACAGAAAAGCTGTTAAGAGGTAAAATGCTATAAAACATTTTTACACTAAAGACAGAGTCCAGACCCTGGAATATTTCAGGGTAAATTTTTAAACAAAGTTGGGTCCAAACACAGTGGTCATGCCTATAATCCCAGCACTCTGGGAGGCTGAAGCAGGAAGATTGCTTGAGGCCAGGAATCCAAGATCAGCCTGGGCAACACAGTGAGACCCCTATCTCCACAAAAAGTAAAAAAAAAAATTGCAATTTTGAACCTAAACCTGAGACTATCGAATGGCCTAGCAGGAAGCTTGTTTCCTGTGGGGACGGCACGCTCGCTCCTTGGGGAGCCGGAGGACACTTTGCAGCTGCCATACAAGTTCCTCCCTTGCAACCGCTCTTGCTCTGCGGCGCCGTTCTTTGCTTGGCTCTGAGGAACGCCGGCTCAAGGGCAGAGCAAAACTGCTCCAAGTAATTTTGCCGAATTTAAATAGTAAAAAAAATCCCACCTTGAGATTTTTCTGTTTTTGTTCAATCTGAAAGTTTGAGTTAAAAGGCCCAGCAAAATTTTTAACTTTCACCTAAGCTAAAAATGAAGTCGCAAAAAAATACAAACGAAGGATCTTTTTAAATTACTAAAAATAGTTTTTTGGGAAATTAAATAATAACAAAAAAGAAATTAACAGCAGGAGTGAAGGAAAACAGATTTTTTTTTTTTATTTTTGTAATTCAAAGACTTGTTTACTACTTGTTATCACTATAAGAATGCAAGAAAAAAGTCCTAATAACAGGTTCAGATCTAATTTTTCAAAGAATCTTTTAGAAAAGTAAAAGATAAATTGCGTCATATGTTCAAGACTTGTGAAAACTTCAACACAAAAAACTTCACCACTTTTTTATGATGCTTGATGCCAATTCGCCCCAAAACTAGCAACTAAACAGCTGCAAATTCCTTTTGATGAGCATACGCACTTGAGAATAAGAGGAGTGATGGATTTATAGAAAACCCTAACGAAGCGAGGTGTTAGGAAGGGAATTTTTAATTCACCAGTAAACAGTGCTCTGACGAGGTAATTCAAAGGTGGCTACCTCAGTGTTGTCTCAACTGGAACAAGTGGAAGGAGGATTATTTAATTAAAGTTACTGCCGGCCCAGGTTTACCAGAACCGTGGCGGGGCGGGGCGGTAGACTGCTTCAAGGTTCAGGAAATTTCGGACCAGCCTTGAAAAGCAAGAGCGAGAAACCCATCTCTACTAAAAATTAAAAAGAAAAATTGTGGGACTGCACGCCTTGTTAATCCTAGAACTGCCTGGGAGGCCAAGGTTGGGCGAGATCGCTTGAAGGTTCAGGGAGTTCAAACGCCCCTGAAAAAGCAAGACCCTGTCTTCTACTAAAATAAGAAAGAAATTTAAAATTTCACGCAACTAAAATATAATTAGAGGCTGAGCACGGCAACTTCCCATCTAGCTGGCAAAAAGCAAGACTCTGTCTCAAAAAAAAAAAAAAAAAAAAAAAAGCAGACTGTGGCGGGCAATCCCAGTGTCACATTGGGGGTGGCTGTGATCAACGTCAAGATGCGAGGCTGCTGGGACGGGCGTGGCTCACGCCTGTAATCCTAGCACTCTGGAAGGCCGAGGCGGACTGATTACTCGAGGTCAGGAGTTCGAAACCAGCCTGAGCAAGAGTGAGACCTTGTCTCTATACTATAAATAGAACAGAAAATTAATTGGCAACTAATACATATATAGAAAGGATTGGCCAGGCATGATGGCACTTGCCTGTAGTCCCAGCTACTTGGGAGGCTGAAGCAGAGGCGATTTGCTTTGAGCCGGGGGTTTAGGTTTCTGTGAGGTAGGCTTGACGCCATGGGCAAACTCCACTGTAGCCTGGGCAAAACAAGTGAAGGACCCTTCTCAAAAAAAAAAAAAAAAAAAAAAAGAGCGCCCGGCCCTCATTCCCCTTTTGACACTCATATCCTAACTTTTTAAGGATTACATCTATAATATTTCGAATCTGTTTTAATTTGAATGTGTATATCAGTTTGCTGAGCAATTGTTACTTGGCAGATCTAGTGGGGATGCAAAGATCAGTATGACACGGTCCTGCCTTCCAGACCAGGGGTCTCCAACCTATGGTGAGTTGTGTAATTATCGCACTATATATTACAATGTAATAATAACAGAAATAAAGTGCACAATAAATGTAATGTGCTTGAATCATCCTGAAACCATCTCCTTTGTCCCGGTCTGTGGAAATATTGTCTTCCATGAAAATAGGTCGCTGGTGCCAAAAAGGTTGGGGACCACTGCTTTAGACTCTCAGATGAAAAAAGAGATGAACCCAATTCTAGTAGGGCTATAATCATGGCAGGCAGACAGTCCTGAGGGAGGAAAAGTGGTTTTGCTTGGGATAAAAGCTTAGGGCAGTTAGGTTGAACCTAGGAAGAAGAGAAGGGGGAAGCTGCTTGGCGGAGAAGACTGATGTGGAAAGCAGGACAGCACGAAGCCCAGCGGGACCTGCACACACTCACTCGAGAGCGGCTTGGGCTATAACAACAAAAAGCCCACCTGTCAATCCTCAGCACGTGATCTAGGACTTCGTTGAACAGGACCAGAGGAACGTCAAGTTCTTCTTCATAGAAGACTTTCAGCCTAGCTTTGACATAATCTCTTAACTCTTCTTGGTCTACTGGGATGTAATCCTATAGAAAAAGAGTAATACTCAAATTACTTAGAAAAATCACTTTAGTTATTAGACCAAAGTCAACTGCATTTTCACATACCATGAACTGTTGAAAAATGCAACAAAAAAGAGATACCATTTATGACATAGCAACAAAAATATATCTTAACTAGGAAAGGATCTGAAAACATGAAAAACGTTTATGGAGAAAACCAGCTGGAAATCCATTGCTCTGGGAGCAACTATCAGACGGAGAGGAGAACCACAGCAGCTGCCAGCCACACGCCTGGGATGCTCTGCCCTAAATTTTCCACGGCCGCAAACGCTTAGTGCATCACTGTTGTAACCTCAGCCTCATCCACAGTGCACGTCATGGCAGAGATTTTTTGATTAGAAGATAATCCTAACCAAAAGGATAGAAGAAAAGGAAATATTTCTGAAATAATGCAAATTTGTTACCTTTGACAACCAGTTGCTGTACAAGATGGGCCGGTTCATTGCTTTCTCTTTGTCTATGTTAGGGAAGTGCTTCAGAGCAACCATGTCGATGTTTTCGTCAGTCCAACGCCTCTCCTCATCCTCCACAAGTCTGTAGGAAGGAGAGCGGCCAGGCATTAGAGGAAGCGGGCCACGGGGAGCAAGCCCGTGCTGGCTGGTGCTACGGGCTGCTCCGAGGGCTGCGGTCAGTCTTTGTCATAATTCTCCTTTTCTACTAATGGAAGAACCTAAGAAGCTGAACTCATGACAGCTTAAGCAATCTGAAAGTTTAATAATAAATACCAAAAACTCTCAGAACTATGGCACCATCACAATTAAAAAACTCCTCTAAAACGTGTAATGATTTAAAAAATGGAAACATGATATGCTAAATGGTAGGCAGAATAGTAAAAAGACAAAAAAAACAATAAAAATAAAAAAGAAAAGAAATTTAAAAAGAATAAAAATAAAAAATGAAAATATAACTCTGGTTTCTAAGTTTGCTTAATATAAATGCTCCAAATATTATGAAGCCATTAAGGGAACAGAAATAGGGAACTGCAACGTGTACAGTTTGGAGGTATAGGGCCTATAAAGAAAACCACAAACAGATGAGACTGCGACTGTCCTGACACGTGGGGTGCCTGAGAAGCTGGCAGTGGGAGCGGGCCACTACGCAGGCTACCACGTGAAGGTCCAGTCAGGGCAGCTACATGGCTTCTGAAGCCATATGAACTCATAAGCACAACTGTTACTGTTACATTTGGATCCAAGCTGAATTTTCTCTCTGGTATTATGGGAAATCTGTGAAAATTATAACGTGACTCAATTTTTTTAATTAAAAAAGGGAGAGTAAAGATAGCTCACAAAACCAAACGTGATAAAGGAGAACTCTAATACGGAATACAAGCAGGGTGCTACGGCCAATGGGCTCCTCGGCCCACCCAGCCTCAGCGGTCTCTGACAGTGAGCGGCTCTGTGAGGTACCTCCATGGAACCCAAGAACTTCAAGAGCCTGGTTTAAAAACCAGCATCCTGCAACTAGGCAGTATTCGGAGACTCCCTGTGTACACGTACAAGAAAAGCTGCTGGAACCACTGGTCCAGAGGCACAGCTGCCAAACACTCAAGTATTTCTTAATCTGGAGGGAACCACCTGCCTTGACTTCTCCTGGGAGAGTAACTATTAACTAACTGCTGCCAATGACCTAAACCTGAGACTATGAATGGCCAGAGGAGCTTGTCCTGTGGGGACCACGCCCTCCTCCTGGGGAGCGGGAGGACACCTGCCCTGCCATACAAGTCCTCCCCTGCCCGCTCCTGCTCTGCGGCCCGTCTTGCTGCTCTGAGGAACCCGGCTCAAGGGCAGAGCACTGCTCCAAGTAATTTGCCGAATTAAATAGTAAATCCACTGAGATCTGTTGTTCATTGAAGTTTGAAGTTAAAGCACACAAATTTAACTTTTCACCTAACCTAAAAATTGAGTCCAAAATACAACGAAGGACTGTAATACTAAAATAGGTGAAATTAAAAATATAACAAAAAGAAATAACACAGGAGGTGACAGGAAAAGAATTTATTGTAATACAAAGACTGTACTACTGTTCACTATAAAGAATGCAAGAAAAAAGTCCTAATAACAAAGGTCAATAATTTTCAAGATTCCTTTAGAAGTAAAAAGACTACATTGTCATATGTCAGACTGTGACTCAAACCACAAAACCTTCCACCACTGATGCTGATCATTCGGCCACTAGCAACTACAGCTGCAAATCCTTTGATGAGCATACCGACTGAGAATAAGAGGAGTGGTGATTATAGAAACCCTACAAGAGGTGTAGGAAGGGATTTTAATTCACCAGTAAACAGTGCTCTGACGAGGCTATCACAGGTGGCTACCTCGTGTTGTCCAACTGGACAGTGAGGAGGTTTATTAAAGTACTGCGCCCAGGTAACCAGACCGTGGGCGGGGCGCGGTAGACTGCTCAAGGTCAGGAGTTCGAGACCAGCCTGAGCAAGAGCGAGACCCCATCTCTACTAAAAATACAAAAGAGAATTAGTGGCGCTTCACGCCTGTGAGGATTCCTGCCAGCGCTCTTGGGTGAGGCCAAGGGTGGCGACGGCGCCGGTTGAGGTCAGTGGAGGTTCAGAAGAGGCACTCCCTGGAGCAAGACCTGTCTCTAGCAAAAATAGGAGAAGAAAGTTTATATTCAGCCAACGCTAAAAACAAGTTAGTAGTGTTGATGAGGCTTGAGTGCCGAGCGGCGACGCCGACTCGGTAGCCTGGGCAAAGCAAAGCGAAGACTCGGTGGTCTCAAAAAAAGAAAAAAAGAAAAAAAAAAGAAAGGCAGGTACTTGTGGGCGCGGCGGAAGAGGGCCAGTGTACATTGGGGGGCTGTGGTGGATGTCGATGACGTCTGTATGTGGAGGCTGGGGGGTGCTGGCGCGCCGCGGTGGCTCACGCCTGTAATCCTAGCACTCTGGAAGGCCGAGGTGGACTGACGCGTTATCGACGGTCAGGAGTTCGAAACCAGCCTGAGGCAAGGAGTACGCCTTCGTCTCTTACTATAAATAGAAAGAAATTAACTTGGCCAACTGTGCATATATAAGAAAGGATTGGCCACAGGAGTCACGCGCTGGGAGCCCAAACGACTTACTGAAAGGCGCGAGGAGGATGCTGAGCGCGGCTTTGAGTGTGTGCTGTGAGGGTAGTTGACGGCCATGGCAGGCGTGCACTGTAGCGCTGGCAAATCGCTCTTGTGTGTGTGATGCTTTCGGTGTCTTCCAAGAGGGAAAAAAGAGTATATAGATAAATAGATGTAGTATGTAAGGTGTGTGTATGTATCTTGATGGTTGTGTGTGTGTTGTCGTGCTGGATGGTTCTGCACTCCCCTGTCCGACCACTAGCGTGCCTTTGTGGCAGAGTCTGGTGAGCTGGTGAGTCGTCGTGTTTGTGCTGGCGCGGGCTGCGCGTGAGTGTGTGCCCGTGACCGTAGGTAGGCGGTGGTTGAAAGACGAGAAAAGAAGCTGTGTTGGTCGGTAGATGGGGTGGTCCGTCGCGGCCGGTCACCGCGTGTCTTGAAGGAGCGGAGGCTGTCGTGTGCCCTCAGTGTGTGAGTGTGACTGCGTGGTGGAGAGTGTGTTTAGCGCGAGTCGGTGCGCGCAGGTTTGTTTCCCCTCTGTTCTTTTCTCCTTCTTAATTATTTGATATTTCTCCCCTTATCTTATATCGTGGTCGTTACTCGTGTTGCCTGTGATATGTGTATGGTTGTTGTTGTGTTTGTGTGTGTTGGGGGTGTGGTTGTTGGTGGTTTTTTTGTTTTGTGTGTTGTGTGGTTTGTGTGTTGTTTTTGTTGTGTGATGTGTTGTGTGGTGGTGTGTGTGTTGTGTTGGTTTGGTTGTTTGTTGTGTGTGGTGGGTGGGGTGGTGGGGGTTGTTTTGTGTTTTGTTGTTGTGTTTGGGCTTTTGTGCTTTTTGTGGTTTTTTGTTTTTGGTTTTGGTTGTTTTGTTTTTTTGGTTTGGTGTGTTGCTTTGTGTTTATATATATAGTGTGTGTGTGTGGTGGTGGTTTTGTGTTGTGTGTTGTTGGGGGGTGGTTGGTTTTTTGTTTTTTTTTTGTTGTTGGGGTGGTGTGTGTGTGTGTGTGTCTGCTGGTGTGAGGCCTTGTGTGTGTCTTCCTTGTGGAAAGAATATATTGTGGATGGGTGTATGTGTGTTAGTTATTTAGAAGAACACAGGAAAAGTGTTTAATTGATATGTCAATATTGATGCAAAGGTATTATCTCAGTCAATGTAGACAGATGTGCGCCGCGAAGAGACCCTTGGAGTATCTTTTCAGTAATGTTTTGATAAGACAGAGGTTGGGTGCTGGCTGTCCTGAAACGTACGATGTGTGGGTGGTCGTGATGCCTATATATCCGCCCAGCACTCTGGGTGGTGAGGCTGAAGCGAGAGATTTGCTTATAGAGCCCTCAGGATTCCAGAGTAGATTCAGCGCTGTGCGAAACGACAGTGAGACCCCCGGGTAGGAGGCATAGTCTGGCACGAAAAAAGTAGATAGAAAGAAAGAAGGAAGGCCGGGGCGCGGTGGCTCGACGCCTGTACAGTCCTAGCTCTCTGGCAGGCGGGAGGCGGGGCGGAAAAAGAATTTCTGCGGACGGTCAGGAGTTCGAAACCAGGCCTGGGAGCAAGGAGCGAAGGACCCCGCTTCTACTATAAATAGAAGAAATTAAGAGCGTTGGCCAACTGAAGAAGTACGTATACAAAAAATAGCCGGCATGGTTGGCACATGCCTGTAGATCCCAGCTACTTGGAGGCTGAGCAGGAGGAGTGCTTGAGCCCAAGAGTTTACGGTTGCTGTGAAGCGAGGCTGACCGCCACGGCGATCAGCTCGCTAGCCCTGGGCAACAAAGCGATGACTCTGTCCTCGAAAAAAAATTAAAAAAAAAAAAAAAAGGCTGGGCGTGGTGGCTCAATGTCTGTAATCCTAGCACTCTGGGAGGCCGAGGCAGGAGGATCACTTGAGCTCAGGAATTCGAGATCAGCCTGAATAAGAGCAAGATCCCATCTCTACTAAAAATAGAAAAAATTAGCTGAGCAACTAAAAATAGAAACAAAAAAAATTTAGCTGTGCATGGTGGCATGTAGCAATTACACGCATTACACAAGATTAGACAGTGACATGTGAAAAGTGTACATATCCTTTCAGAAACTGCAGAGTGTTGTCCCACTGTCATAATGGATGCATAAGGTTATAGAATAGGGACAGCACGGAAACGTGAGCAGCTGTAGTACCTAGATAGAAAAGTGATTTCAATGACGGACCTTGGAGACAGTCTCTTAGCTCAACAAGAGTTCTGAATAAAGCCTGATCTTTTAATCAAGTTCTTCAGTTACCAGAGGAAAACAATTTCTGGATTAGCGAAGAAACTCTGTGTACCTGAGACATGGTATAGAACTCTACCATGGCAGCAGTGAGTGGCTCTGCATACGTCCGGAGCGACGGGATGAGCCTCAGCATGGCCCGGTTGAAGGTGCCGTAGATCTGCGTCAGGGAGGCAGGTCCCGGGTAATCCACGTACACGACAGGCACGTGACGCAAGAACCTGCACACAGACGGCCCCGCTCAGCACCCCTCCGCCAACAGAGCCTCTGGGCAGGGGCGGCGTGCCAGCGGAGTCACCCTGGCCTGGGCCGGGACTGGAGGTCACTTCCTAACACTTACACAGGCTTGACCTCAAAGTTAACTGAGATCACAACACACTGCTCAGGCTTGGCGTCTGACCCCCAGTATAAGACTCAAAACACTTGAAAAAGAATCAGGCAAAGATGGGACAATGAACCAGACACGGTGGTTCACACCTATGATCCCAGCACTTTGGGAGCCTGAGGTGGATGGATCACTTGAGGCCAGGAGCTTGAGACTAAAGTGGGAAACATAACAAGACCCTCATCTCTACAAAAAAATTTTTAAAAATTAGCCAAGAATGGTGGTGCACGTGTAGTCCCAGCTACTTGGGAGGCTGAGGTGGGGGAGTCGCTCAAGCCCAGGAGTTCAGGGTTGCAGTGAGCTATGATGGCACCACTGCACTCCAGCCTGGGTGACAGAGCGAGATTCTTCTCTAAAATAGTGGGAAAATAATTCAGGCTTATTTCAGCCTTATCTTGGCCCTACAGATGGGTCTGGGGGAGTTCATTATTGCCCAAGAAGTCAATGCTTTTATGTTTAGCATGTTTTCCTATTATTACAACACAAGTGCGAGTAAGCCAGGAGGAACCCTATGATCAGCAGCACTTCAATGCCGTTACAATTACAGCCAAGTTTCTCTTGCACTCTACTGACAGCATCCCTGGACGTGTGTGTGCGCGTGCGTGTGTGTGTGTGTGCGCGCGTGTGCGCAGCCAGAGAGCTCTGCACAGTGGCATTACCTGTGGGAGAGGGGCTTCCTTCCAGGGTCAGTGGGGGGATTACAAGCCCCAACAAACTGGATTCTCTCCAGCTTCACCCACGTTTGATCTGAGGTACGGTAAAAGCCTCCGTGCTCCACCATCTGAAGGAAAAGGCACGTGACACGTTAGGGGCGAAATGCGAGCAAGAACCACGTGGGGTGGGGAGGGGCCTTTTGGCTACAAACAAACCTGTCTGATGAAGGATATGACCCTCTGTGTCCCATACTTGTCCATATCTGGCAAGTTAATCTCATCACAGAACAACACCAGCCACTTCCCAAGTTGAACAGGAGCCAAAACGACTCCGTTTGGCGTGCGCCTATACTCGCAATAGTGATCAAAAGTCTTCAGGAGGAGCTCTGGGGTAGTGGCACTTGAGAAGTTAAGACCCACAACCTTTGAAAGGGAAGACACAGAATGAAGTTATAAGACCAGTCCCGTATCTCAAGGCCTAAAGGTCTGTGTCCACCCCCGGCCTCTTTACCTCCATGTCAGGCAAGGCCCGGAGGGCGCTGAAGAGCGTCATGGTCTTGCCGGACCCAGGAGGGCCGCATAAGACCAGGGGCTTGTGCTCGGCCAGCCATGTGTACAAGAGGGCTTCGTGGCGGACCGTGTCCAGAGTCGGCACGACGACGTCAGGGGCCGCCACCTTGTGTGTCTCCACTTCAATCTGAGGCACCTTGGCCTGCCATGGCGACCATTCTCCACTGATGGACACCTACACACAGTGGGAGGCACAAGTCACTCTGGGGCAATCAGTGTGCCTCCTTTCTCACGCGATTTGCTCACTTTAACACAGACCAGAACTTTCAAAATAAGAATGGACAAGTCACATTAATCTGCATTCCTTGTTACCATACAAAGCTAAAAGGATAAAGTCCTTATATGAAATGAAAAGATAAGGTCAAAGTCCACGGCTAGGTTGCTCCAGAATAAATTAAAGGGACATGGCAAGAATCAAGAAACAAGGGCTGCGATGCACACACGCTTACTTCATAGTCGATAATCGGTATGTTGGGGGCAGTGGGCAGTGGCACGGTCGTGATTCTTCTGATGTATTCACCCAGCTCTGCTCTCATTTTCAGCCGGCTGTCTCCAGACAAGGACCAGAGTATGGCATAAACCAGGTATCGCTATTAAGAGAGGAATTCAAATTTCATTTTTATGAAATTTCAACAAAAGACAGCCATTCTGGCAGAGTTACCCTTGAAGACAGGGGTTCCTAGCGTTCTTGGGTCACGGGCACACTCTCTGTACCTTCTCTAGCCCCTCACAGAAGCTCCCCCAGGAGACGGAACACGCCCATGTGGGCATGACGCTGGGGGTTCACAGACCAGGGCCGTCTGTGGACCCCCCAGTGGTGAGCCCCGTGACGCTCCCTGACCTGAATGTAGCGCTCCAGCTGCTCGATCTGCATGGGGAAGTCGGGGTGGTTGGCGTTGTACTGCGCGACGTTGCGGCAGGCCTGGTGCAACATGGAGAAGAGCGAGCCCAGGCAGCGCAGGCGAGTCAGGTCCATGATGTGCTCTAGCTGGAAGGCGTGCTCCAGGGCCTTGGTGACCAGTCCGTTGGATGTGAAGTACGGCTGCATGATGGTCGCTGCATCCCTCTGGATCTAGAAAAGGAAATGAGTGAAGCCCAACTATTATTTCAAAAAGCCAGGGCAGTTTCACGTCTTCTAATCTAGCTGCGCAAGGGGGTCATGTGACCTTGGAAAAATAACTGTGGATGAAGCTTCAATAACCAGTCTCATTCCTTCACCATGTGGTTCTCAAAAACCCTGCTTCCCAGGAACTCTGGTTTTCACCACCAAACATGGAAAAGGATAATCTTTCACCAGTTTGCAGAGGGAAAATAACGGAAAGAATTCTTTAAATTTTCCCATACATGTCTTTCAACTTTCCCGGCGGCTACCGCTGGGCTTCCTTACAGGCTGGTAGAAGACAACGCTGACTACACAGGACCCTACTGCGTGCCCGGCTCGAGCAGGTGAGTGGTCAGTGACTTTCGTGGACAGCACCAGGCCATCCACGTTCTTGTGGTGTGGACAGTCTGACCTCACTACATCTGAACCACCAGGACCCGCAGGGGCTGATCGGCGGGTCCTGCTTGGCTGCGGCGTGCGGCCCAGGTACCTGCAGCATTGGGGACGCGGCCTCTTCACCCTCGTCCTCTTTGCCCTTGCGCCGCCGCTGGGCCTCATCCTCCCCCTCGTCCAGCGGGATGCTGCGTAGCCGGGCCAGGAAGTTGTTGAAGATCATGTCGGTGCTGAGCACGTCCTCACTGAACCAGACCATGCCGCAGCGGGACACCGTGGCCAGGGTCGCGTATTTCAAGTCCTGCACTTCAAACATTATTCGCACCTTGAAAGAAAACATTAAGCATGCTGAATGATGTAGGTTTGGTAGAAACGTGGATGGTAAAATTCTTTTACCTATATATTCACTGAAAGGGTGATTTAAAATTTATCTTTTCTGTACTTCACTTACTTTAAGTTTAAAAAGTAAAAATATCTACAGTTCACATCACTATAATATCCACCGTCCTCTCTCACAAGCATCTGGACAGGAAAAACGCGTGTCATGGGGAGAGGAGGTCAGACCGCAGAGTGCTGCACTCCCACAGTCAGAAGAGCTCGAGGAGCAGAAGCAACAGCGCCTCAGGGCGATGCCGGCCGCGAGCAGGGACTGGCGTCCTCGCGCCGCGCCTGCTCCGGCGCCTCAGGTGCCCGCGCTCACCCAGGCCCCACACAAGCCGCTGAGCCGGGCACGCTGCCCCCGTTTTACAGACGGGGCAGGTAACCACTGCTAGTGAGTGCTGGGGCTGAGGTCCAGACCAGTGCTCGGATCCCAAAGCCTTAACCTCGGTGCTATAACTGCCTCACAAAGAGATCAATTTCCTGGTGACAATAGTTAGACTCTAATGGATATCAGCTATCAAAACAGAGCCTGGCGAGTCTGAGCAAGTGCACACTTTCAGACAGTACTAAGAATCCATGGCTGGTTTCCGAAGCGACGACTGACACCAATGCTGACCCTTCCTGAGGAAGGCTCATGTTCGTCACCTGTTCAGGTCAAAAGCTTGCTGTCATCCTTTCCCTCACACCCACGTCTAGTCCATCAGCAAATACCATCAACACAACCTTTAAACTGCAGCCACAAGCAGCCATTTCTCAGCACCTTTGCTGCTGCTGGCCTGCCCGGCCAGCCCCGAAGCTGGTGCCGGAGGACCGAGGTGGCTTCCAGCCTGCCTCCTGGCTTCCACCCTGCACTCTTCATCCTCCGATGTGTGTCTTTGTAGACAGAAATTGGGTATTTCACTCCTGTCTGAGACTCTCCTGTGGCTCCAGCCCTCACAGCGACCTCCAGAGCCCCTGACCCAGCCCCTTCCTCTCTGTTCTTACCCTCAACCTTTTGTCTCCAGTTCTCTCCATTTCAGCCAACTGGCCCTGCTCTCCTCATGAACACTGGGCACCGCTGTCCCAGACTAGCTACTCCTGGCATTTGTCCCTTTGCCTGGAATGCTTGGGAGCCCCGGGACTTGCCTCTCATCCCCCGAGTCTCCACTCCAACTACCATCTTCTCGGGGAGCCCTTCTGGCATCCCCACCCCCACCTCCAACACCTGATGAGTCTCTGCCAGGTTCCTTTTTTCTGCTTAGCACTAATCACCATTTCTCTTGTTTTCCCGTCTTCCACACCAGACTGTGAACAAGCCACCCGAGAGCAAGGGGTCTGTCTATTTTGTTCACCTACTGCATATTTTCACCATCCAGAACAGGATCTGGCTGAATGCAAATCCACACCAGGCCTAACCGTGTCTACCGAGCTGTTAGATGGTGTGTTTGGGCACCTGTATCAAGTCTCATTTCTCAAGGGACAGCCTTGAAAGCTCCATTCTAAATTCTTCACTTTGCCAGCCCCTAGACGCATAATAACTGAAGAAACCCTAACTACAACCCCGCCTTACAGAGTTACAGGGCGAGTTAACTGATAATTATGAAGTGTGCTTAATAATAAATGATAGAAAGCCATTAATAACACCTGATAAAGTATTTCTCATTAGCCACGGGAATGAAAAAAAAAATCCAGCAGTTGAGACCCTCCCTCTGAGGGTTCCTCACACAACTGACCGCTGCTGTGTGGAGCCCTCTGCAGAGCCGAGCTTTGCCACCATGTGTGTCCTACTTGGCTAGATGGGAGCATTTAACCCACGAGACACAAAGTTAGGCTGTTTACATTGGGTGGGAGGCTGAGGCGCTCTCCGTTGGGCAGAGTCAGGAGCTTGTTGTCATCTAGCACCGAGTTCAAATTCTCAACCCACTCAGGATCCACATCGCCGTCGAAGACAATCCACTGGCGCTTCTGCAGCTCGCCTCTCACGTTGTCTATGATCCTGGTTGGGAAGGATTTTAAAACAGCTGTTGACTAAATCAAGATTTTAAGATCAGAAATGTTTGCCCTGTAATGGTTTCTGAACTGACCTTCAACTGGTCAGACATGGGTTAGAAAAGTAAGGCACACCCGGCTGCTGTGAGAGCAGATGCCTAAGCCCCATAGGCGAATGCAAACACCGACCAAAGCAGACGTACTTTCTCAGCACATGCGTGAAGAGCCCATCTGTCCACTCCCTGGTGTTGGGGTCCAGGGTTCCGTAGAGGTGGTCTTTGCTGATGGCCTTGGGGTCAATGATATGGGCGACCCCTTCCACACCCTCGAGTCTCTCCAAAGCCTTCAGCAGGACGCGCCAGGCCATGCTCTTCCCACTCCCCGAGGGCCCCACCATCATCAGGCCGTGATTGATCTGGGTGATCTGGTAGAGCTGGAGAACCTGCGGGGCCAACAGACCAGCAGAGTGACCATCTCAGAGGAAGAACAGGGAAGGCTCTTTAGCCACTTCTCGTGACAAAGAGAAAAAGAAACATGTTCTACGGATTCCTAAAGGCAAGCACTGGACTTCTCCAACTGGAGAACGTTACACAGGCCATACCTAAAACAAACATCTCTAAACTGTGGGGAGTTCTTTGGTAAGTCAGGAACGCTAGAGCCAGCAGGACAGGAGACACCTACCAAGCAGCCTCAATAAGGACACGTCAGATCCCTCCAGGGACAAGAAGAGACCAAATGAGACACAGCTTGTATAAATAACTTTTTCTTAAATGTTATCACACAGAGGAAGGAAAGAAGCCAATATAGAATTAAACCATGTGTGTACTGATTAACAATTTAGATGGTTAATCTAAACCAACTGGAACCAGCATAAACGGGCTCCACTATAACCGTGCCCCTAGCCAGCATGTTTAGAGAACCATCTATATCAGGTGTCCTCAAACTATGGCCCGCGGGCCACATGCAGGCCGCCTAGGACATTTATCTGGCCCTCCGGGTGTTTTTGCTGCTGCTGCCTGTCCTGCTTAGCAGCCGACTCGTCCTGGGCCCACAGTGTGCACTCTCCAACAGTCTGAGGGACAGTGAACTGGCCCATTTAAAAAGTTTGAGGACCCCTGACTATATCACGTAAGCAAAATCTTCAGGTAAGTTTTGCTAACATCACCTTTTTTTTCTTTTTGAGACAGAGTCTCACTCTGTTGCCCGGGCTAGAGTGCCGTGGTGTCAGCCTAGCTCACAGCAACCTCAAACTCTTGGGCTCAAGTCATCCTCCTGCCTCAGCCTCCCAAGTAGCTGGGACTACAGGCATGCGCCACCATGCCTGGCTAATTTTTTCTATATATTTTTAGTTGTCTAGCTAATTTCTTTCTATTTTTTAGTAGAGATGGGGTCTCGCTCTTGCTAAGGTTGGTCTGGAACTCCTGAGCTCAAATGATCCTCCCAGAGTGCCAGGATACAGGCGTGAGCCACTGCGCCCGGCCCAACATTACCTTTTAAACAAAAGAAAGGTTCAAACAGGCCTTGGGCAAATCCTTGTAAACCACACGATGCAGCTCCCTGGCCCCTGTGGGCAGAGTTTCCCCAAATAGCCCACGGCCATCTTTATTGGACTAGAACGCCGGCAGGGTCTGTGAGGGCAGCAGCCAACAGAACAATCCCGTTACCTTTTCAACCCACATCCCGCCGACTTCTTCTCCGTCGCCGTACGTCAAGTACATCTCCTGACACACTTTCTTCAGCTCTTCCCGAAGGGCAGTCATCTCCCCGCGATGGTACTGGACTCCAGGGAACACATCTGACAGCAGGCTGAAGAGCAGCGGGATGTCCTCGGCCACCAGCTTCGGCACCATCGTCTCGCAGACGCTCTGTATTAGAATCTGCGGGCAGAGGACCGAGCTGCAGGAGGGAGCCTCCTGCCTGTCTCCGGGAGGCATGCGCGGTAACCGGCAGGGAAGAAAAGGGCGTGGTCCGCCACTCGCCCATTCGTGCACTCGATGTGCTGGGTGGGTACCAGTCTCATCCCGTCACCCCAGGAAGGGTAAGCGCAACGAGAACTCACACGGCATGACTTCAATGTTGAAAAGGTAAATTTAAGTAATGTGAAGGGTTTGAGAAGTCAAAAGAATGTCTATACGAACCTCTTGTTCAGGGAGATTTTCAGCGATTTCTCCTTCATCAACTGCTTCCCCTCGTTCTTCCTTCTCCCTCTTGATCTTCTGAATTCTTTCCCTCTTCACGTTGCCTGCGCTTACCAGCACACTCTTCAAAGCCCGAAGGCCAAAATCATAATGGCTTTGAGAAGAGAGCTGCTCATCACATAGTCTAGAAAAAAAAAGGTTTTCTTTAAAAACAGTATACTTTAAGCAACAAGCAAAAACAGTGTCAAGAGTCAATAAATTACATGGATATTTCGAAAGATGTGCCATAACTACAGATAAAAATTTAAAGTTTAAATGGGCACATTTAACATACGCTAGAATGTAGTTATAAATAACTCCAGGCTACTCACTTAAAGAATGGGACAATTTTGTTGGCAAGCACTTCGGCAGTCCGGAAGCCCTGCGAGTACAGCATGACCTGGGCAATTAACTGCCGGTCAGGCTTGGTCATGGCCAAGCTCCGGAAGAGCTTCTTCAAGTTGTCAGGAAGGTTGGACCTGCCCGCGTAGCCAGGGTTCATGGTGATGAAGATGGCCATGTCTGGGCTCACCTTGACTTGTTTATTTAGCAGCTCACAAGTAATGGGGGCAGAAGCTGAAAATGAGATGATGGCATCAAAACTCAAGATGTTCAAAAACCTCTTCTAAAATGTCTCTAAAATGACAGATAAAGCACCCATTCTCCTGTTGGCATCTTAAGCCCAAAGCCTGGGACTCCTGGGATGCTGGAGCGAAGGCTTCCTGGAGGGGCTGCTCTCTGGCCTTTCTGAAGGGCCCAAAAGCCACTACGTGGCCCAGGTGGACCCATTCTCATGCACACAGATGTGTCACAGGCCAAGCCATCAGAGGCAGGGGCCACTGCTCTGTTTGTGCAGTACAACACTGAATATCACAAGGGCAACTCGGGACAGAGGTGCAGTCCAATAATGGTGCAAAACCGAAAATGAATCAGTGCTATGACACACCTGACTGGCTCACATCATGAAAATCACCTTTTCTAGGATGAGCAAAAACAAAGAAACACAAAACCTTCAAGCGGCTCTGAACTACCTCAGAGCAAAGTGTATTCACTCCACGAGAGGATACTGAGCGCAGACACAGATGCTGCTTTCTTTGACACTCCGTCGCTTTTACGCAGGAGGTCTGGGGAATTCTCTTATATAAGACAAGTTACTACTACCGTGGAATAAAAGGAAACATTAAAGGTAATACTGTGCACTTAAGAGATTTCACACCTATGCAATACTGATGTGTTCGTTTCCTCCAATGCCCGGCCCTGCCCCACCTTGCATGCCTAGGACTAGGTGTACAACAAGGCAGGTGAGCACCCTTGGTGCCCCCCGAAACAGCTACCCCCATCATGATAGAGGGCTCCTTCCCGAAACCAGATGGCAGAACACTCCGGCCACACAGGGGCCGGGGAGGCTGGCTCTCTGATGATGCAGGAAGGGAGGCAGGTCCTGCAGGCCCACACCAGCCGAAGCCCTTGTGTGTGGCAGACGCTGTGGAGCACACATTAGCGCTCGGGAGCACGGGGCTCTGTCTAGCTGGGGAAGGACCGCTGGGGCTCTCGGCTGCTCGAGGTGGTAGGATCCTGCATGGTGCTGTCCTTAGTGAGGACAACTGCTGATGCAGCATCACCCGCCTATACCTTCAGTCTTGAACCACAACTCACTACACTGCCTGCAGCAGGGAGTTCCTGTGCGCTGAATCCTTGCTTATTTCTAATCAAAGAGGCAGAAAATTAGTTCACGATGGAATCTCCCTCTATGTCCTCTAAGTGATCTCTGAAGAGGAAGAGCAGTCTTACTTTTGTCATAGTTGGGGTTGGAATGCTCTCGCAGCGCTTCCTGGATGCACTGCACCTGCTGGGACACGGCCGAGAGCATCCGCTCCTCCAGGCGGTTGAACTCGTCGAAGCAGCCCCACGCACCCACCTGGCAAAGCCCCACAAAGATACGGCCCATTGCCTGAAATGGAGAGAAAGAAAGACGCTAAAGCCACCTGTTACAAACTGAATTGTGTCCCCCACCCCAAATTCATATGTTGATGCCCTAACCCCTACGGACTGCATTTGGAGATGGAGCCTATAAGGGGGTAATTCAGATCAAAGGAGGTCACGTGGATGGGGCTCTGATCCCACAGGACTGGTGCCCTTGTAAGAGCAAGAGAGACTGTAGTGCTGTCTCTCCACACGCACTCCGGAAAGGCCATGCGGGCACAAAGCAGCATCTGTGACCAGGAAGAGAGTCCTCAGCAGAAACTAGACTCTGCTGATGCCTTAATCTTGACTTCCCAGACTCTGGGACTATGAGAAAAAAATTTTTTTTTTTTTTTTAGATAAGGTCTCACTGTTACCCAGGCTAGAGTACAGTGGTCTCATTGTAACTCACTGTGGCCTCAAACTTCTGGCCACCAGTGATCCTCCTGCCTCAGCCTCCTGAGTAGCTAGGACTGCAGGTACATGTCACCACACCCCGCTAATTTTTCTATTTTATGGAGATGGGGTCTCGCTCTTGCACAGGCTGGTCTCGAACTCCTGGTTTCAAGTGATCCTCCCGCCCTGGCCTCCCAAAGTGCTAGGATTACAGGTGTGAGCCACCGTGCGTGGCCTGAGAAAATACATTTCTGTTGTTTAAGCCATGTATCCAGTGCTACTCTGTTATGGTGGCCTGAGCAGACTAAGATATCACCTGCCTCAGTGTTGGCTTTACAGGGCTCAAATCCTGGCTCTGACGATCTGACCCTGGGCAAGTCACATATCTTTCTGAAACCCACATTACCTCATCTTTGAAATGGGAATTATACTGTCTACCTCCTAAGGTGGCCGTGAAGGTTAAATTAGATTCAAACGTTGGGTGAGGAGCCAGTGCCTACACGCAGTAGTTATTTCATAAACAATAATCATTATCATTATATAGATGTAAGACAAACATCCTTTTTCCTCCTGTGTCAATAAAATCAATGACAAAGCTGTTATTTTACTCTCCCACTTTTTGTTGATTAAAAAAAAAAAAACTTCTTAGGTATCCCAAGAGTGTAAGAGAAAAAAAAAAAAGATAAACCTTCTTCTACAATATGTGTTTATTCTTAGACATAGGGCATTAAGCATTTCTTTAAAAATTTGATTTTTAAAAAAAAATAAAGATAGGGTCTCCCTCTGTCTCCCAGGCTGGAGTGTAGTGGCATCATCATAGCTCACTGCAAACGAGAACTCCTGGGATCAAGCGATCTTCCCTCTTCAGCATCCTGAGTAGCTGGGACTACAAGTATGGGCCACCACACTCAGTTAATTTTTTTACTTTTGGCAGAGATGGGGTCTTGCCATGTTACCCAGGCTGGTCTCAAATTCCTGGGCTCAAGCAATCCTCCTGCCTCAGCCTCCCCAAGTGCTAGGATTATAAGCGTGAGCCATGACATCCAGTAAAAAATTGGTAGAAAAAGGGGGCCTGGCATGGTGGCTCACACCTGTAATCCTAGCACTCTGGGAGGCCGAGGCAGGAGGATCGTTTGAGCTCAGGAGTTTAAGACCAGCCTGAGCAAATAGCAAGACCTCGTCTCTACCAAAAATAGAAAACATTAGCCAGGCATGGTGGTGCATGCCTGTAGTCCCAGCTACTCGGGAGGCTGAGGCAGAAGGATCCCTTGAGCCCAAGACTTTGAGGTTGCTGTGAGCTAGGCTGACTCCATGGCACTCACTCTAGCCTGGGCAACAAAGTGAGACTCTGTCTAAAAAAAAAAAAAAAAAAAAAGATATACTACACTAAATATTTGATATTGAAAACATGAAACTAAAGTCAACTTCAAAGCACATATGCCGGATGCCTCCAACAGTTCAAAATCCCACCTACAAGGACTCAGAAGGGGAGATAAAACCACGCTGAGCTGTAAGGCTGATGCCTTTGAGACAGGTGTAAGCTTGATGCTCCCCAATTAACCCCTTCACATCATTAGATTTTAGGTAGATCCCATAAAGCTTCTCACCTGGAAATCAAAGGTTTCGTCACAGTTGAAAACTAAAACGAACCGTCCAAGCTGATGGCCAAGGGCTTTGACTGACTCTGTTTTCCCAGTTCCAGCAGGCCCTATTAATTACAGAAAAATAATTGAGTACTTGAGTCCATTATCTAATTGGGAACATATCTTTAACTTTAAAAGAACTTTAAAAAGCAACTATGCTATAAATCAGATATAATAAATGCAAACAAATTTAAGATTTTTGAATGTACCAACCAAGTAATTAAGAAATACATTGAAATCATTAGCTTAATCTTCAAAGTTTTTATTACAGGATTCCATGCATCCAACTCTGCGGAGTATATCTTACCAAATGGGGAACCCCCCAGCCTGGCCTCCAAGGCTTGTGTCATTGTCAAATAGCAGCGGTCGGTGAGAGGGGTCTGGACCAGCTTGTCCTGAACACCAAGGTACTCAAAGCCATAGTTAAATTTGGCATTTGCCATTTGAATGGACAATTGCTGTAACACATCAGTTTGCTTCGGGTCAAAGTAGAATCGCATCTGGCTGAGCCATTCAAAAGATTTAGCGTTGTCAATTTTGCTTTTGATCAAGGACCTTGTAACATCTCTCTGGTGAACTAACTCTGTAATCTGAAAAAAGAGAATCACGTTAAAAGTTTATCATAAGCTAAACCAGTACAGAGTATTCTCTGGGTTCATGGATTATTAAACCTGAGATTCTAGGTCCAGTTACAAAGGCTTTCAACAAATATTCCAAAATGCAAATTCACTTTGAGAGATAAGATAAATTGCTATTCCTGTGATGGTATTACACAGAATCAAGAGTTACAGAAAAAACAAACACCTCACTTTAAATAAAAATTCTACAATCATATCGTAAAATGTGATGATCGGCTTTCTGGTGTCCATCTTAACAGTGTGCCTCGAGCCCACTGGGGGCCCGGAGCCGGGGCTGCCCACATTGCTACCTCTTTGAGGAGGAGATGATGACAAAGAGCAAGAGACCTTGATCAAGATTGGTTCCTTTCTTTCTACCATGACATCATATAACTCGTGCACATCACCAAGATTATCTTTCAACAGGGGACACAGAGCAAAATACCTGCTGTCAGAGGATATCCAAATTCCATCTACCTTTCCCCTTGATGCTAACTGAAACAGTTTTCAAGCATAAGTTCCAATAACTGCTTGAGGGGAAGGTGTAAGAGCTAACTGGCAAGGAAGGAGTTGAGCATGAGACTAACCAAGTGTTCCAGCTTCCGTCTTCGCAGTGGCGGCTGCTCCATGAGGACAGAGTCCGCCAACACATTCAGGGTGACCTCCACGTTGCTCAGCACGGAGTGCAAGGGGGCCGCATCGCCGCCTCCACCCACGCTGCTCAGTGCGTTCTCCACGTTTTCAGACCAGGCTATCTGGGCTGACAAAACCACAAGCTGGGCCTGAAAAACATGACAAAATCCCAGAGGATCATTTTAAAGATCAGTCAAGCGTATTCATCTTTAGCCCACCCATTTCTCCTGCAGATTACCTGATATTTATCAATCCAAGTGATGTAGGTGTTTGGGTCAATTGAAGTTGCTTTACCAAAAATCTCAACTTCTGTAACAGACTCAGCGAGAAGTTTAGCCAGGGTGACTCTCATCTCCTTTTCTACCAGTGTGAGCCACTCATTGATTTTAGGATGCTCAGTAATTGACACAGGAGTTTTAAACATAACCTGAAACAAATAAAATTTTAAGAATCAAGATGTGCAAAAATATGGGGAGATATTTTCTAAGATACAAACAGAAATTTAACTACCTCTTCTCCTTCCCGGGATGAAATACCCAAGACAACAGAGTTATCCTCATTTAGGATGATGCTTGAAACTCCAGCAAACATTTTCTTGAAGTGTTTCTGTAATTTAGCTACATTCTTGCTATTTCCAATGATTTCAAGCAAATCTTCATCACCCACAAAATAGAATCTAAAATGAAAATAGCATTCAAATTGCTAAAATTTTACATATACAAGTAAAGTGAATCAAGGCAAAATTTCAATTTGTAGGAAGGGAAAGAGGATATGGCCTCTGGTGAACAGCCTCCAGCCTGAATTCAGATCACATCCAAATTTCTTCCAACCACTGGCAAAAGGTACACACTTGATTATAAGATCTCGAAGTAAGAAGAATTCACTGAATTTCCTATCATTCACCTTACTTCATTAATTCACTTTAAAAAAACATGTTCAATTTATCCTAAGCAAACTATTCAGAAATGAAGAAATGCCACTTAAGAAAATAGAGCTATCTGGGAGGCTGAGGCGGACGGATTGCTCAAGGTCAGGAGTTTGAAACCAGCCTGAGCGAGACCCCATCTCTACTAAAAATAGAAATTGGCCATCTAAATATATACATACAAAAAATTAGCTGTGCATGGCGGTGCATGCTTGTAGTCCCAGCTACTCAGGAGGCTGAGGCAGGAGGATCGCTTGAGCCCAGGAGTTTGAGGTTGCTGTGAGCTAGGCTGACGCCACGGCACTCTAAGCCCGGGCAACAGAGCGAGACTCTGTCTCACAAAAAAAAAAAAAAAAAGAAAAAAAGAAAACGGAGCCAAACACTGAAGGGACGAAACGAAAGCTCCCTTGGAGAATGGGTGACAGTTTAAATGAAGCTTCATTTAAAGGTAGAAAACTAAGAACTACTGGGTATAACTAAGAATCAATGCATGACAGGGAAATGGTACTCATTAACTTGATTATCGGCTGACAAGATCTTGATGTCAGAACTGACCCACACGCAGGCCCAGAAGGGAGAGAAGACCGGTGGAAGGAAGCACAGCTGAAATGTGCAACTTTATTTCAGGCCAACTCAAAACAAGTATCTTACCTGGGGAAAGATGATCGTTCCCTTTCCAGGTATTCTCCCAGTGCTTTCTGGATCTTTCCTAGGAGGTCTGCCAGTCTTTCCAGAGACCTCTGTACCCCCTGAATGTTCAGAACATCCATAACAAGGGGAGATTTGGATACTTTTTTCATTAGAGCCAAAAACTCCGTGCTGATACTACAAACCAAACCAAAACATACGTCAGCCTTTGTGTGAAGAGTGGTCACCAGCCACTGTCAATACCCGGCTCCCTGGCTGGAGGCCGTACCTCTGGAACCGCTGGGTTTCCACTGGCAGCAGGTGCTTGATATCCGCACTGCCTGTGAAGATGCCTTCCAGGTAGACCCACCGCCTCTGCACATCGATCCACACATCGAAGAGAGCCATGATACGGTTCAGCTTGTCTTCCCAGCTCAGTGCATCCTCTTCAAAAACCTGGTGGGCAGACGGGAGGGCAGAGGTCAACTGCTAACCTTTTCACTGAAAAGTTCGAACTCAAATTCACAGAAAAATGCAGATTAGGGTACCATGGAATAATCTGATTCACATTTAAAAAAAACAGACATCTAGTAACTGTCAGTCAGAAGGTATAATAGCGAAAGTGCAGAACACACTGATCAGGGAGGGAGTCTCCGTGGCACAGCACCTTGTAGTAGGGAGACAGCTTCATGGCGGAGACGCTGTTGATGTGCTCTTTGACCTTGTTGAAGAGGTCGTCCCAGCCTCGGATCAGGCGGCATTTGTTCTGATAGTTAACCAAGTCAAGTTCATAAGTATTCCATACTTCTCTTATCTGAATTGAAACCAGAAAGAGGCATGTTATTAGTAGGTGAGCATTCACCAGTTGGGAAAGTGACGATGCAACACGGGAACAACAACCACCGCAGATGAAAAAGGCTCCATTTTTGCCTAACTCAGCTATGCAACAGCCCAGAAACACTACATAGAAGTGCCCATCCAGTCCTGTTACTTGCCTGCTTCAAAAATTCTTCCAGAGCCATTTCCCCTTGTGCCACAAGCAGCACATCCTTGACAATGGCTTCATTTTTCTGCAAGTCAACATCCCAGATTTGGCCAAGGGTTAGCTCAGAAACAACCCAATTAACGCGAAGCCTTTTCATCAGCTGTTTCCAATGGCGATCTTTAAGTGCCTCGGATTTCAATTCAATCACCAACATATTTATCTGTGGAGAAAATAAAGGGAACAAAGTTATGTGTGCAGGTGCATGTCTAACCTACATTCACCACTGTGTGGCACTGCTCACCTACCTTCATGTAACCTTTCAGCAGCCGCTGAACAAACTCGTAGGACGCGTACTGCCGCAGCCGGGCAGGGAAGTTCTTCAGCTGGTTCAGCAGGCCATCTAAATTTTGTCGAAGCTGTTAAGAGAAACCGGAGATGTTATTTAATTTGTGAACATTTCTTTAAATTATGAAATATTTTTTAAAATATTTAAAAATAAATTACATTATTCTGGAAGAATAATGGGAACGACTTGCAGGATATTAAGTGACAGCCTGTGAACTCACAATACGAATACACAAACTTGGTTTGCAAAGTTCCTGAAGCCCACAACTATTAACATGGGAACATACACAAGCATCTATTTTGACAAGATGTACCTTTCGAGGCTGTACTGAAACCCAAGGTTGCTCCTTCATCTGATCAATTTGCTCCCAGACCTTAGAGAGTTCTGACCAAACGCCTTTGAGGTCCTGTAATTCTTCTAAGGCCACCTGTGATTGAGAATAGTAAAGCAGCTGAGCTGTGGAAACAGAAGTCACCTCAGAATCTGGCCGGGCCCTTGAGATGACCCAGGGCGGTGGCAGAGTCAGGGCGGGAGCGGGAGTCCTGACACCCTCTGCAGCGGCTCTCACCTGCACGCGCTCCTCACTGCCGCTGAGCAGCCCCGTGTCCGTCAGCTCCAGCGCCTCCTTGGCCTTCGCGCACTTCTCCCTGTCGTCCTTCAGCCTGCCAAACTTCCCTTCGTATATGGTGAGAGCCTGAAGCGCCTCCTCTGGGCGAAGGTTGCCCTGAAAGCAGTCCAAGCACGGAGAATTGCAGTGCAAAGTCTCAAGAGAGAGGAACACTCGGGCTCCAAAATGATGGTGGGGCCTGCTGGGCTTCTGGAAATTTCTGATTCCTTAAGCATAACTGAGCATATCTTCATGGGGAAACAGTCTACGGGAAGTGCACTTAGAATGCATGCACAGCGCTGAATCAAAGTTTTATGTCAAATTTCACATAAACAAAAGTCTCATAATGGTGAAACGTCTCTCGATTCAGCCATCATCTCACGACCGTGGGAGTGGGCGGAGAAGAGTCAGCACAGACTCGGTCCAAGAGGACAAAGCTCTGTGGGCCTGTCAGCCACACCTTCCCTGACATACACAGTTGTCACATCCGTCACTCAGAACGAGAAATCACCAGAAATGGGCTCTATTTCAGCATTGACATTACTATTTACATACTTCCTTTGCATTTTAATAACTTTTGAGAACTATACAAAACCTTACAGTTTTCCACCAAAACAAAACACAATTAACATTTTAGTTATGACTTGTTACTAGCACCAAGTTGAGCTGACAAAGAAATACTCAAATTTTGGTGACCAGAACCTTGCTATTAACACTCACTCCCCTGCTAGAGTGAGCATTCATAACGTAAGCACTCACAAAAGCAGAGACTTCTTAAAAACAGGACCACTGAACCAAAATAAGACCTAAGCAGAAAGTGCAAGGGCCCAGTGGCAGCACGGACACGGCTACGGGCAGGACAGAACACTAACTAGCAGAGCATCACGGGAGACTCAGTCTGCCATCTGGCCTACCTTGCCACCTGTGGAAAACTTACAGCCCCAAACCAGATTAGCATTCAAAATATTTTAACATCCTTTGCACTTTTCTAAGCCTGTCTAAATAAATAAAATTTTGAATTCTACCCTTAGTAAACCAAATATATTGTCATCTACTTGTTGTCACCTCTGCTGTCAGCATGACCTGCCAGCTCCGCTGCTTCAGGTCTCCCCTTCAGTGTCACCACTCAGACACAGCAGTGACCACCAGCACCCCCTCCACCCTGGCCAGCGCCCTCCCGCTTGCTCTGCAGCACTGTCACCACTCGACTCAAAATACGTGTTTTATAACAGGGCAACTTAAGAACAGAAAAACTTTAATCCTTGAAACCAACTCCTGACTTAAATGATTACCATTCTGGGTAAAAAGAGGTCTAAGTTGGCTTTCACACTTACTATACGTAAGTACTGCTTTTTTAATTACAAAAAGAAAAAAAAAGTCTTCAATACTGAAAAGCTAAGCTGCAGCAAGTTTTCGGAAGGCTGAAGGAAAGTGCACGACATGCTGCTGGGGCAGCAGTCTCCTGGAGCACAGCCAGGCGGGACTCACCGTGACGGGCTTGGTCTTCTCCCAGTCCGTCAGCAGGTCGGTGGTGCGGCTTTCCACGGCCCGGTCCTCCTGGACGATCTTCATTTGCAGGTTTGCCACCTGCTGCTGAATGGCAGAGTCCTTCCGCCGCATGATGTCATTGAAGGCCCCCCACTCCCCCTCGATGTTGTCGATGTAAAGCCAGGAAGGCGGGAACTGGAACCTCTGCTTTTCCAGCAGGCGCTGACCATTGCGGTAGAGCTTTGAGAGTTAAAAAATAAACTGAATTTTTTTTCTTCTATAACAATAATTGAAACTATTATCAGAGCCCCATGAGAGAGAAGGCACTTTATGGCTATAGAACATGTAAGATCAACACACATGCTCTTCTCCTAAAACCTTCCATCCCACGATTATTGTGGTAAGAGGGCGTCATGCTCCTAGAGTCCAACATAGCTAGTCTAGTTATTGTAACTCAATGCATCCAAATGCCCTGGACAGGATTTAAAGCACAATGGAGCTGTGCTTCACCCCTTTGTTCTGAATTATAAAAGATATTCAAGTTTGATGACTTAAAAACAACTAAAATAAAAGGCTTTTTTTGGAGGCAGGGTCTCTGCTCTGTTGCTGGGGCTAGAGCGCAGTGCTGTCACTGCAGCTCTCTGTAGCTCTCGGCAGTCTCAAATTCCTGAGCTTAAGTGATCCTCTTGCCTCCCAAGAAGCTGGAGTAGGGGTATGCGCCACCATGCCAGCTAATTTTTCTGCTTTTTTTGTAGAGATGGGGCCTCGCTATGTTGCTCAGGGTGGTCTTGAACTCCTGGCCTCAAGCAATCCTCCTGCTTTGGCATCCCAAAGTACTAGGATTACAGGTGTGAGCCACTACACCAGGCCAAAGATTTTATTTTTTAAAACATTTTTTAATTTAAAAATTTCTGGGGAGCAGAGATGGAGTGTCACTATGTTGCTCAGGCTGGTCTTGAACTCCTGGCCTCAAACGGTCCTGCCCTGGCCTCTTAAAGTGCTAGGATTACAGGTGTAAGCCATGATGCCCAGCCTAAAGTTTACTTAAAAGATTTTAAAAGGCAGAAATAGGGGTTCTCCAACCTTGCTGTGCATAAGAATCATGTGCAGAGCTTCTATTAATAGAATGTAGATTCCCATAATGCCAGTATCTGCCCTGAATGTTAGCAAGGGTTATAATAGAGGTGGTCCCATACTGTAAGAAAATAATGCCTTAGGGGTTCTATCAGAGCATGCTCTCAGAATGCAAAATATTATAAAAGCCAAATTAAACTAGAGGTCTAGTTTGAAAGTTTTAAATATTCATAGAGCTCACCTCAACTTGCTTCTCAAACTGCTTGATCTTCCGTTTCAAAGACTGCACGTAGGTGATAAAGGTCACCGCATCAGAGGTGCTGGCCGTGTCCACCGAGTGCTGCTCCAGCTCTTGGCGAGACTGTTCAGAGGGAGGGAATACTTTACCATGGAGCTGAGGTTTACCAGTAGACTGGTTACACTGGTGGAATCCTACCTCACCTTTGAGATCTGGGAATGGAATTCTGTCATGTTTGATCCTAACATCTGTCCGAATTTGCTGAGAACCTCTTTATGCCAAGAGTCATACTTCAAGTTCACCTTAGATTGTACCTGTAGGTGAAGCAGCACACAACACATCATCAGTCCTTTCCTGCTGGCGTGGCTGCGCTTAGGTTCAATTTCAGTCTAACAGAAACGCTCCTTTTACAGCTTCCCTGACACCTTCCAAGAAGACAGCAGAGCTCACCTTGCCGTAATCTATAACTACTGGCCCAAACTCTTTCTTGGTTTCCGCATTGTCAAAGGTCCCTCTGGCCTTCCTTATCTGGACCAAGAGAGCTTGCCACTTGTTGAGATCTTCCCCGAGTCTGTTATAGATGTTTTCAGCTTGCATATCCCATAAACACTGGTACTGAAGCCAAACCTGCAAATGAAGAACACAATTACTCAGTTTGATTTTTCTTTTTTTTGAGACAGAGTCTCGCTTTGTTGCCCAGGCTAGAGTGAGTGCCATGGCATCAACCTAGCTCACAGCAACCTCAAACTCTTGGGCTCAAGTGATCCTCCTGCCTCAGCCTCCTGAGTAGCTGGGACTACAGGCATGCGCCACCATGCTCAGCTACTTTTGTCTATGTATGTTAGTTGGCCAATTAATTTCTTTTTTATTTATAGTAGAGATGAGGTCTCGCTCTTGCTCAGGCTGGTTTCGAACTCCTGACCTTGAGCAATCTGCCCGCCTTGGCCTCCCAGAGTGCTAGGGTTACAGGCATGGGGCACCGTGCCTGGCCTGATTTTTCATTTTGTAGGTTATTACATAGCATGCTCATATTCCATTAAAAAGTTTCATATTCTTTTGTCACCATTAGAAAAAATTCTCACTTTAGAGTCTTGGAATTTTCATATCAATAAAACTTACTGTTCTCAAAAACTATACTTAAAACCCCAAAAGATGCGTCCTATTGTTCACTCTATGCTTTAAAATAAGCAAATATTATCTAGTGAACCATTTTTATATATAGTTAAGATCTTTAGCTCCATATTCTTTATATCCCATACTCTTACCTAGGATAGACTAACGTATTTGAACGAAGTTAGGAAGTTCTGACCTTGACATACTGCTCGACTTCAGTTACAATGCCCATGACGGCGGAATACGACTCTTCCAGGGCAACGGGGCCGTCAGGCATCCGTGTCAAAGCGTTCCGATAGAATTTCTCTTCTTCAGTCAATTCATAATGTACACCCACCTAGCCAACCAAAGCCGAAAAGAATGCAAGTACTATGTATGAAAGCGCTGAGCTCAACATCATCTTTTACTTAATTAAAATGAACAGAAAGAACAGCTGACAACCAAAATGGGATTTAAGGGATAACATCCACTTACCTCAGCCACCAGTAACCAGAAAGTCCACTTATATTTAACTCATCAAACCAATAAAAGAAAGGGATGATTAACTACAACATAGAAAAATGCTGCATCACTAAGGGCACACTGCAAAAATAGTTTAATAACACGTGAAACCCTTTGCTTATTTCAACTATTTGAGTGCCAGATGCTATTCCAGGTATAGCAAACAGACAAAAATCCCTGCTCACGTGGATTTACGTCCTACAGGAGGAGGAAGACAATCAAGGAATAAGCAAAATACACAGCATGTTAGGTGGTGATAAATCCTATGGAGAAAGAGAAAGGAGGACAGGGAGTGTGGGGCAGGGGAGGCTGTATTTTAATAGAGAGGTCAGGAAAGGCCTCACCAAGAAGGTGACTTTGAGCAAAGGCCAGGAGGAGGAGAGGGCGTGAGCCACGTAGGTGTCTGCCACGAGGGATACTGAGCAGAGACCTGCAAGTGCAAAGGCCCAGGGGCAAGAGACTGCCTGGCACGCTTGAGGACCAGCAAAAGACCAGTGTGGCAGGAGCAGAGCCAGTGAGGGGAGAAGCAGGAGCTGAAGGCAGAGAAGCACCATGCAGCATACTACATGGGGCGCAGCAAGCCGCTGTGCGACCTGGGCGTTCCTACTGAGACGGGAAGCCGTTAAGGGCTTTTCAGAGCAGTGTTGGTATTGACTGAGAATCTATGACTTGCTCTGGCTGCTGTGTTGAAAACAGATTTTAGGCGGGCAAAGGTGAAAGAACAGATGGTAGGGAACATTAATAATCCAAGTGAGAGGTGGTGGTACCTTTGACAAGAGTGGTAACAATGGATTTGGTAAGAAACAGATCAGGGTTATATTTCAAAAAGAGAGACAATAGGAGTCAAGGATAACACTGTGATTTCTGGCCTAAGTGGGTGAAGGATGGGAAAGGAGAGATGAGGGTAAGATCAAACTTGAGGGGAGGACTGGAGACATGTTCAGTTTGACACATCTACCAGACAGCCAAGTGGAGATGCCCATAGGCAGCTGCACAGACAGGCCTGAGTTCAGCATAATGGTCAGGCTGCAGAGAAGAACACGGAGCCACCAGCATACAGACGGTTTGTAAATCATGAGACTGGATGAGACCATTAAGAGAGAGCAAGGTGGTAGAGAGAGCACGGAACATTTAGAGATTAGGAAGAGGGCTGGGGCAAGGGAACCAGCCAGTGAGGTAGGAGGAAAACCAGGAGAGCATGGTGTTCTGGAAGAGCCAAGTGAAGAGGGCCCTCAGGAGGAGGGAGGGGCATTCCTGTCACATCCTGCAATCAGGCAGGGGCTAAGGCGAGGACTGAGAAGTCCACTAGCCAGCAGGGAGGAGGCTGCCATGATCGCACTGGAGCAGGAGGTGGCGGGTGGGAGGCCTGGGGCAGCTGGCACAGACAGCCCCTCCCCAGAGCTTCCCAGGAGGAGCACAGGATGGCTGCAGGGAGACTTGGGGTCAGGTGTATGCACTGACAGGATGAAGAACTGCTGAGGAACAAAGTGTTGGCTCTAGTTTGTAAAATTTGGAGATAAACAGGAATAATACAAACAGAAACACAGCTGGTTAAAAACAGGAGAAATAGGACAAGACAGACCCTAAAGACTGTATGTAGACTCCTTGAGGGGCAGGAATCATATTTATAGCTTGGTTCTGATTAGCTGGACATTGCCAAGTTCTGGGCTAATCATTGGCAAGATTTCAAGCCCTGGGCAGTTAATTACCTCAAAAAGTCCTAAAAGAACTGAATTGAAGTTAAGAAAGAAAGAGATAATTTTCTAATTAGATTACTAAATTCTAGAAGAGTCTGCTAGAATACAGGTTACAGAATGTTTTTACTTGAAAAACCACTGGTTCTATTTAGAAGTAACAATGGCTCCAGGCTAGGGACTAAATTAATCTCGAGTTTCCTTTTTGTTCTAGAAATATACTAATAAAAGTATAGCTGGGATTTACTTTAAAATAATCTGGTAGGGATAGGGAGGTAGGAGAAAGAAATACATCTATATTGGTCATATATTGATAAAGCTGGGAGTTGGGAGCTCATGTGATTTCCTCTACTTTTGCGTACATTTGAAAATTTCTCCAGTGAAAAGGGTGGTTGGGAGGGAAAGAAGCAAGAATGAGGATTCCCAAAGCAGCTCTTGGAGGGAATCTCTAAGAGACTACCAAGACAAGTTAGAAATGTCAAGTAGCTAACTGGGAAAAAGGTCAAGTCACACAAAGCCTCCTCTAGCTTTCTTTAGGACATTAAACCGGAGTCTGGAGTTTGAAAGGACACATCAAGATCCTATATAAAGAGGCACCCTGGAGGAGTGTTATAGAGCCCCAGGAGAGGCCTGGTCAGAAGGCGAGTGCTTCGAGTCCCTGCAGGCTTACCTGGTACCTCTGACTCTGGATCCTGGGGAGAGACAGTACAACCATCTTCCAGGCAAACATTTCCTGATACAGCTTGTATCTGCACTCCTCAATTGGCGGATTCAAATAGATGACCTGATTGGTTATTCTTAGCTCGTGAACGACATTCTGTGAAAGAAATGTTTCATTTTTTACTCAGCAATCTATTTCTATAAAACAGTTTTGATACTTAACACCTTCTCTCCCTAAATTACTAAACTACTTAAGTCTGGACCACAAAGTCTGTCACTGGATTATTAGAAGTGGTCTTGTATTAATAATTTCACGTTGTCATTTGTGCTCCCAACAAAGACCATAAAAGTCAGAGGGGAGGTGCTGCCTCCCTCTGGGTCCCTAATGCCCAGGTGCTGAACACACAACAGGTACCCAAAAAAGCCCCGTCTGATCTGACTGCATACATATGGATCTCGTTATAATATCCTCGGGACCTGAGACACCAGCGCCCGGCCTCTTTTTCATTTTTTTTTTTTTTAAAGCTAGTCAAGCGTGGTTGTGGGGGGAGACAATGTTAAATCAGCTTAACAATAACCCACAACCCTCGGACCAACTTCTTTTTCATTTTTTTAAGACTTCTTTTTGGCTGAGTGCGGTGGCTCATGCCTGTAATCCTAGCACTCTGGGAGGCCGAGGCGGGCGGATTGTTCGAGGTCAGGAGTTTGAAACTAGCCTGAGCAAGAGTGAGACCCCGTCTCTACTATAAATAGAAAGAAACTAATTGCACAACTAATATATATAGAAAAAATTAGCCGGGCATGGTGGCGCATGCCTGTAGTCCCAGCTACTCGGGAGGCTGAGGCAGGAGGATTGCTTAAGCCCAGTAGTTTGAGGTTGCTGTGAGCTAGGCTGACACCATGGCACTCGTTCTAGCCTAGGCAACGAAGCGAGACTCTGTCTCAAAAGAAAAAAAAAAGACTTCTTTTTTTTGTCATTATTTTAGACTTAGAGGAGAGTTACAAAGAAAGTACAAGAAGTTTCACATACCCTTCACCACCTTTCTCTAATGCTAACATCTTACATAGCGCAATCATGAAAACACCTGACACAATTCCATTAACTAAAATGTAGACTTCAGCCAGGTTCCCAGGATTTAATCCAAGATACTACATTACATTTAGCTGTCACATCTCCTTAATCCCTTAAAATCTGTGACATTTTTTCAGTTTTTCCTAGTCTTTCATGACCCTGACACTCTGGAAGAGTATTGGGCAGGTGGTCTGTAGACTGACCCTCACTCTGCGTGTGTATGATGTTTCTGTCATGTTTAGAAGGAGACTGAAGATCCTGGGAGACAGACCACAGTGCCCTTTCACCACGTGATCTCAGAGGGTCACACAATACACCATCTCAATGGTGATGCTAATCTTTATAACCTGGGTAAGGTGTCTGTCCGGTTCTCTGCTATAAAGTGACTTTTTCATAGGTACTTCCTACAGGGAGAATTTATATGACTTACTCGCAAGTAAGACGCCATAGGCAATACTCACTTTGATTTTTGGCTCTCCACCAGGCTTGTGACTGACTTGTGGGGCATCCGTATCCATGTCAACTTCTGCTTTATCTTCAGCTTGTCCAAGAAGAACCTGGGTCCAAGCTCTTAGGCCAGCTTGTAGACGAACGCCCAATATTCTTTCAATCTACAGAGAAAGTAGTGTCAGAGAACTGTGTTTCTTCTGAAAGTCAGCTCACAAAGTATGAGAATTAGAAAGAGCAATAGGTGTTTCAGGTCAAAGAATGAGAATTAGAAAGAGCAATAGGTGTTTCAGGTCAAAGATAAAAGTTACTAACTACAATCCTACATCTCTTAATTCTCAGTCTCACTTCGTCACCTCCTCCCGTCTTGGGTAACTGGTCACAGTTAGGCTGACTGAGTTCTCTACCTTTGGGCTAACTGAATCACCAAGCTTTCCAACTTGTAAGTGTCAAGGAAACTAATACAAATGCAGTCTTCTCTCTGATCTAGAATGACACTAGTAAATTTCCTACAAATAGGATGTCTGTAAGCCTTTGCCAACAGTCTGCCTTAGGCCACAAACAACCATCCTGGGAAGTTGGTGAGGGCGGCTGGTCAAGAACCAGGGGCTTTCAGACCATCTTTGGGTTCAGGAAAGTGGGGTTTGTTAACTTTCACGGTTAGCACCCCATTATGTGGATATACTGCAACTTACTTTTCCACTTGAAAAGAGAAAAGAAAAAAAAACCACAAAAAGCTCAGGAACTGACGGAGCACAACCTGTAACATCTGCTATAAAATTTCCTCCTAAGAGGCCGGGCGCGGTGGCTCACGCCTGTAATCCTAGCTCTCTGGGAGGCCGAGGCGGGCGGATTGCTCGAGGTCAGGAGTTCGAAACCAGCCTGAGCAAGAGCGAGACCCCGTCTCTACTATAAATAGAAAGAAACTAATTGGCCAACTAATATATATAGAAAAAATTAGCCGGGCATTGTGGCACATGCCTGTAGTCCCAGCTACTTGGGAGGCTGAGACAGAAGGATCGCTTGAGCCCAGGAGTTTGAGGTTGCTGTGAGCTAGGCTGACGCCACGGCACTCACTCTAGCCTAGGCAACAAAGCAAGACTCTGTCTCAAAAAAAAAAAAAAAAAAAAAAATTTCCTCCTAAGGTGTGCACGCACGCGCGCGCACACACACACACACACACGCTCTCCACCTCCACCCCACCCCACCCCTCCCCAGGGCTGGGCCATGGTTCTCTACACCAGGAATAAGAGTATTCTGTGGCTGGGGACTCCTTTCTAAACCTAGTGGTGGGGCAGGGTCATCAGGAGGACCCTGGAGGGCCAGGGAAGGGCCAATCATGAGAGGAGCAGGCAAGGGCAAATACAAGTTGTCAAATATCCAGCAAAGAAAGGGACCACTCCCTCCTCCCTCACACCTTGCTGCTTCCAACTTGACCCTGGCTTGAGTACCGATGTGTAGGACCACAGTTCAGCTCTACCATTAGTTAAATGGGGTTCTGGAGTGGAACTGGCCTAACACAGATAGGGTTTTCTTTTTTCTAAGGAAAAACCCTTCTCAGTGATGATAAACTTACTGAACAGGGTCCACTCTTACGTCAGCAGAAGAATCAAACAAACCCTAGCCCTCACCTCCATGTCAAGCTTGTTGACCCAGATGGGCAGGTTGGAGTAGGAGTGCAGATTCAAGTCGTCCACCGCTTTCTGGACTCTGTTCAGGATCTCTGAGAAAGTCTTGTGATCATACATACAGGTTTCCAAGGAACGGACTTCCAGGTCTATCTTTTCTTCAATAATCAGCAGATCGTCCACCTGAAGGAAAGAATATATGATATTTAAAACATTGATTCACTCTGTTCCTTTACTTTTACATACTTTCTTTTCAGGTAATTAACAAATCCTCAAGGCAGAGAAGTCCTTCCATAAATAGCTGTGAACGCTGACCCCCACCCCCATGCCCTCACGGTGGGAAGGGGATGTAGGGAACACTATCGGTTTCCTTCCCCTTGAATAAGGGGAGTCCTGCTTGTGGGAGGGGCGGCCTCTGATGGCAAGTCTGGGAAAAGGAAATAAACCTGCTCCTCTCAGCCTGGGAGCCAGCCTTGCTGGAGCACGTGCTCTGGCCTTCTGCTAGAGACTGGTAAGACATCTAAGTCTGGGTGCGCCGTGAGCAAGGGCCCCTGGCTGCAGATGAGAGCCATGCTCTCCATTCCCCTGTACCGTAACACGGCTCTCGTGTTGCTCTGTCAGACGCCAATGTCTTCAGCTCTCCACTGGTCTCTAAACTCGGGGTGTCACGTACTGGCTCCCCGAAGCCCCAGTACCATCAACGCCAAGGTGAGCAAGATGGTTCCTTCTCCCCCTCAGCTGACAGGCCTTATGCTGTATCAATTACGCATGCCTGTGTAGGAGAACTAACATTTAAACTGCATAATTCAGGGGGGAGTGGGGCATGGGCAACATACGTAACCTTAACACTTGTACCCCCATAACACGCTAAAAAAATAAATTAAAAAGAATAATAATAAAAAAATAAACTGCATCATTCATTACCAGGACACTTAAGGATTAAATTAAAGCACACCTTTTCTTGGAAGTTGAAGACAGTCTCTGCCAGGCGCTGTACGTATGGATCGAGTTTGTAGGACTCCCACACCAGTGCAATGCCTTCTCCAATCAAGGCCTGCACTTCCTTCTTCAAGCCAGCTACCAACAGTGAAATGGTGTTCCGCTCCTCCACCTTCTCACAGGTCCTCTCGTAAGTACGGACACTTTCGATCAGCGAGATGGCAAACGGGTAGAGCTGGTTTGCTTGATGAGCCTTGTTCACGATCGCCAGGGGGACCCGGAAACCAAGCCACTTGAGGTTTCGGACTTCTTTTGAAAGTGTGATGATCTCAGGAAGAAAGTTAACTTTCAGTTTAAGGACGTTTCCAGTTCGGCCTCGAACCCGAGTACTTTCGATGGTAAAAATGCGCCCCGAGACGCCCAGGTTGCGCTGCTGCACCTTCCTCGCCCAGTCATCGAAGATTTCTTGTGTGTTGAGCTTCATGCGGAAGCTGTCTCCATCCTGCTTCAGCTTCTGCCCTTCCACGTGGTTCTCCCAGCCCTTGCCAAGGACGTCCTCCACGCGCTTCATGTAGGCAGTCAGCTGCCTGTCAATCTGCTTAGCCCAGATGATAGACCCCGACACAGGGGGCAAGTCACGGACATGACTCATCTTGCAAGCCTGGCTTTGTGGGTACTGGACCTTGAACTTGTCGTGGAGAGATTCGATATCATCTTTCACACGCTGGATCAGCTGGGTCTGGTATTCACGAATGGCCCCACGGATGTGAGGCCTGACAAAGAGCGCGTTGAACCTGGAGAAAATCCTGAACATCTCGTTGGCATTCTTGGCTGTGCCGAGTTGATCTCGAAGGCGAGCGGTGATCCGGGTCTCCACTCTGTCAATCCTCTCGTCGTATCTCTTCATTGCAGCTTCCCAGGCCTCTGTGCCTTCTTTGGAAACATCCAGCCCGTCTACTTCCTTGACATTCTCATACGCAAGGTTTACTTCCTCAATAGCATTCGCATCAGCAGCATCAAAGAGAACCTCGGCTACTTTCATATCTTGGGGTTCAGGTACCTCTCCTTGATTCTGTTGCGCAACTGCTGTGACCTAAAAAAGAAAGATTTGTAACAAAGAAGTGTTTAAAAATAGTATTTTGTTATACATACCACACAAAAACTACCAGTCAGCAATACAGGTTTTTAAACATTTAGTCAAACATTTTATAACCACAACTCAATAAAGCCAAGTAAAATACCTTAGAGTATAATTTAACTCTGTACTATAAAGGTTTTCTGACAACGTAATTATTGGACAAGATTTTTTTAAAGGAAGAAAAGAATTGGTGAAGAAGAGAGAATGATAAATTCAGAAGAGAAAAAAGCATGTACAAGGAAAAGGAGTCATTTCATTCTTTAATAAATCTCAGGCATATGCAATTATTATCCATATTTTACAGATGGGGACTCTGAGAAAAAGATATTAAATAATGTGTTCTAGTGACATAGTAAATGGAGGTATTAGGATTTAAAACCCAGGAAGTAGCCTGAGCAAGAGTGAGACCCCATCTCTATTAAAAATAGAAAAAATTACCCAGGCATGGTGGCATGTGCCCGTATGGGTCCCAAATACTCTGGAGGCTGAGACAAGAGAATCACTTGAGCTCAGGAGTCTGAGCTTACAGTGAGCTATGATGACACTACTGTACCCTAGCCAGGGTTATGGAGTGAGATCCTGTCTTAATCAATCAATCAATTAAAACCCAGGAAGTCTGGCTCTAGGTTTCACACAAGACAAGAGTAGGGATGGACAGAGAATATTAAAGATTTGGATTGAAACAATATAATACAGAATCACTAGCTCTCAACCCTTTGCACTCGCTTTTTTCTCAATTCCTTTATTCTACTCAGTATTTGATTTTTAAATACCCCAGATTTTACAAAGCACGGCAGTAGAATAAAAAACCGGAGTTTCTTTTCATACAAACTTATTTATTTGGATTTTTTAATATTTCAAATTATTGATACATTCAAAGGGTAATTTTAATCTCTATAATTTTTGCTAACTGTGTTGAGTCACACTCGACATCTGAGTGCAAAGGGTTAAAGATGACAGAGACAAGACAAAAATGGAGATAAAGAGGTACTCAGCAGTGCAAAATAGAAAGAAGTAGTTAAATTTTAAAAAACAAAAGGCATTTAAACAATGCCTGTACACATCTTTAGAAGGCAGATCATACCTGTGGCCTTAGGACCCTGACGATGACAGCTCTCAGCTGTTCATGCTGGCGTCTAAATTTCCTCATCTGGTCAAGGCGAGCCTGAAGCTTCCTGTGAGCCGGGTTGATACGCCACACCATCTTCAGATTTTCCTCCCTTTTTCTTTTGACAATGTCTCTCAGCAACACCTGAAGTTTCTCATACTCATCATCCCAAGTCTGAAAAACTTCAAAGCAAGCTACCATAACCTAAGATATAAGAAAGCAAGCTTGTTATTAAAATATATTCTCATCTTAATGCCTTGAGGTTGGTCTTCTAATATATTAACACTTACTTTTTCAAATTCTTCATAAGCAACATGCATCAATTTTCTAGTGCCCAACACTTTGAGTAATTGAGAACTCAAGTCTCTTGAAATTGCCTCCACCAAACGCAGTGCCCTCTGAATGGGATATTTTGTGTTTCGGATTTTTCTCAAATGGGTGAAAATTGCAACAAGTGCCTGCCTTATTTTGTCCAGCTCCGTGGCAGACAGCAAATCATTCAGAGGGAAATCTTTCATCAGAGGATTGTAGTCATTCACAGTTTCTAGAGCCTGCTTTAGACCTATATTAACAGAGAAATAGTTAATGATTTTCACATAAAATAATAAGTAAACTATGTCATTACGATGGAATATTTCGATGTTGCAAAAGATCTAGTGACATGGAAACTTTATGATATTGAAAAAAAGGACATATTATCAATAGGGTAACCCTAGTGTGGTCCCATTTTTGCTGTTCTAAGAGTCCGGGTCAACTCACACACTCCAAAGGCTGTGAGTGGCAGCTTCATAGATTTTGTCTTTTTTGGTTTTCTATATTATCTAAATATTCTACCAATAACAAGTTTAGAAAAACAAAAATTTTATCCTTGAGAACACTAAAATTTAAAGTTTATACCCAACTTCACGTCAGCTGAATGTGTTACTATGGACATGGAATCACAAAAGCACTTGGGTCCTAGTCTATGTCTTGACTTCCTCTGGCATAAGATCAAAAAAAGTATTAGGAAAGAAAGAAAGGTTTCGGGGGTGTTAAAAAAAAATGAAGGTATACATTTCAGCACAGTGAATGCTCAGGCAATGTGTGCAATGTGATCAAAGTAACTGGAAGATTTCTACTTGGAATTTACTCTAACGTTTAAAATGTGGGCACCACACTTTTTTGAAAGGGGGGAGGGACAATATATGACAACTATTGCAGTCTTAAGTACTTACTCTAACATGTCTCTTGAGTGCATAGAGTTGTTCAGAAATGCCTAACAATTAATACCGCCTGGTATTCAAATATTTGTGTGCTTAGTGCGTGCTAATGCAACATCATTCACACTGTTCCCCACTCAGAAAACTAAATTTATTTTGACCACTTGTCAGAATAGGGAGGAAGACAGAAGAGACAAGAAGGGGGCAGGTAAAAAGAGGAAGAGAAAGCAGGACTGACCGGCTTTCCCGCCACAGCCCTCTGGGCAAATAACTTCTGCTTAACTTGAACCAGCTTCCCACCTGGACTGTCAAAAGCACTCTTGACTGCATCCCCAAAAGCACAGCCCACTCAAGGAGCCACGCCGTTGGGGGACAGGAGGGAGATGCCCAGGCGCACTATACTCATGCCCAGAAACTGTTTTATGTTCCCAAAACCTCTGAAGGGAAGGTAGGTATGTGGGCAAGTAATTTTCATTACTTAGAATTGAGGGAAAGATGAGATGTGATGCAAGAGAGGAAGCAAATACAATAGTACATCTATTAGTCTTTAGCTAAATTATCAAATAAGCTCTCACAGAAGCCAAATCAATAACTGACTGATCAGATTATTAATTCTAGTTGTTACCTGTGTCAGTGTCAAAACTGACGGTGGCATGGAAGCGCTTGCCGTGTTTCAAGATATCCAGAGTCAGGAGAACTTCTGGGCTCTCTCGTTTTTCCTGGATGCGGTATAATGCACGTTCCAAGTTTAGCCAAAAACTAATTTCCTGTAAGGCAGTTCCAGATGCAGGATCTCGATCGAGTTTGGTCACCTTTGAAGATAAAATGACATCTAAGGGTATTCACTACTTAAACAAAGGTAAAAGTATGATTAACACATGCATTACAAGTTAATTTTTATATTTCAAGTACATTTCCTTCCCTGTAAATAAATCAAAAGTGGTTTAATGTGACATTAAAGGTATGAGACTGCTGAGATAAATGCTGTACAGGGGTAATATTTAAACAATCTCAAATTCTACCCTGACCATTCTACCCAGACCAGTGCTAGTCCCACATTGAGCATTCCCAGGACCAAGAGGAAATATCACTAAGTTATCATAGAATTTGTCTCACTGACAAAAACTTGATCAGTCTTCCCATAGATATTAAAGAATAACACCTTTTACATGTAACTTTCAATACCGTGCTCTTACTTTTTGAATTTCTCGGATCCAGCGGTTAACTCCAGATTGTAACTGATTGAGAAAAGTTGGGTCTTCAACCTTATCTCCAAAGTCTGTAACTTTTGGCTTTTCTCCACGTTCATAACACTGTTTTGCAACATTTGTAATAATTGGATGAATTGGTAGGCTGATCTCTGGAATCTCAATATTCTGCTGCAAGTGAAGGAGTCCCATTTCAAGTTCTGCAATCTTTTTTTCAACTGAAGGAGCCATTTTATCACCATCCCTAAAAAGATATGAAATACCTCAAAATTAAGGCACTGCTGGTCTCCAAAGAGATTCTATTATTTCAGGTCTGTCAAATATTAATAATGTACATATTTATTGATGCAAAGGATTTATATCCTATTGGTTTACTAGCTTTACCCCTCCGATTCCGGAGTTTTACATCATCTTCCACACTATCTTGTGAACATGAAGTAAAATATGATATTCAAACCACAGAAAGAAAAAAGGTGTTTACCTGTCTGCTTTGCCAGACTCTCTGATATAGGACTTAAAAAAAGGAGCCACTGCATTGCTAATGAAAGAGTGCAGCGTTTCATAGGGCGAGTCTTCGCTGAGTGTGAGCACTCGGAGTTGAGAAGATACGGGTTTGTCTGCATCAATTACAGGAGTACGTTTGATGAAGGCCAAGCTAAAAAGAAAGCAAAAAAAGAAATTAAAACAAAGAGTCTCATGCCTAATTCATCCTATTAATTTAAAAATCATATTAAGAATAGACTAAATTTTTGCTTTTCTAATAGCAACATGTACTGTTTGTCTTTCTTTACTCACTATGTGAGAACTATTGAATCAAGGTTACGGTTGTAGCATGTGACCATGAAACTAAGAAAAGTTAACTTGTCTCATATGTCGGTTTAATGAATAATCTTGGCCTAAAACTAACCTGCCTTAGCAACTGCAAGCTGCAAGCCATGAAGGACCCAGATCTTATACTAATTTGTACCATTTATTTATTGCACTAAGTCATATATCAGCTTCAGTAAACAAAAGTCCTTCATAGGTTGAAGTGGCAAGAGGGCATTCCAGGCTCTCCTTAGCCCGACTTTAGCCAATTCTTCCAGTTTCACCTCTTGGTATGAACCCTCTTCCCCACCCTGAAACAACACTTAAACTAGATGTCCCATTACCTAAACATGTGCTTTGTGTCTTTGCTTAAGAAATCCATATTCATCTGCTCAAATTATGACCCTCAAAACTCATTTCCAGAGTGACCTCTTAATAGGCTTTCCGTAATCAGAAGCAATCTCTCCAATCTCTATGCTTCCATGGTATTTTGGCAACTATTGGTTGTGTACCTGACAATCTTCCTCCCAAAGACCATAAGCTTCTCGGGAATAGGAACCAGGTTTTATTTCTTTGTATATCACTCTGTATCTACTGCCATTCCTTGCAAATAACAGGTACTCAAAGTTGGTTAAATTAATGACTTCAAACAATTGATAATGTTTTAATTTTCCAGTTCCCAGGTCAGTACTTTATACACAATACTTTATATTCCTCTAAAAAGTCAATGAAGCTTTCTGATGTGACACATTGACAAGGAACAAAGTCATATCAGTATTCTTGCCGAAAACATATAACCCAAATCTAATCATGGAGAAACACCAGACAAACCTAACTAAGGAATGTTCCATAAAACCACTGGTTTGTATTTGTAAAAAATGTCAATGTCATAAAAGGTAGAGAAAGGCTGAATTACTACTCCCAATTAAAGAAATTAGAAAGACAGGAAAACTAAAGGCAAAGTGTGATCCTGGATTGGATTATGAATCAGGGGAAATTGCCATAAAGGGCATTATTCAGACAATTTGAAAATGTACTATAATTAGAGAATATTATAGCAATATTACATTTCCTGAATTTGATACCTGTACTGAGGTTATGAATGAGAATGTCTTTGTTCTTCGGAAATATACACTGAAGTATTTTAGGGATAAAGGGACATGATGTCTATAATCAACTGTCAAATGATTCGGGGGCAATGATAATGTAAAAGTGGCAAATGTTAACAAGTGCTATCTGGGAGTTCTATATACTGTTTGTGCAACTCTTTTGTAACTTTGAAATTAACTCAAGAAGTTTTAAGAAAAAGACCAACAAAGAATCAAATATAACACTCACATATTTAAATTTGGATATGTCTACTGGCATATAAATTGGTACGGCCTTTCTGGAAGGTGGGAAATCTGATAGCATGTATTAAAAACCATAACGATGCTTTGCATATGAACTAGTAATGCTATCTTTAGGATTTATAGAAAAAAGAATCAAACCTGTATATGTTTACTAGTTATTTGTAATAATGAAAAATCAGATGTACATTCATCGCTCAGTACCATCAGTGGAAAGGTTCCGGGACTCCCCTGAGATACCAAAATCTGAACATGCTTAAGTTCCTTATATAAAATGGCACAGTATTTGCATATAATCTGTGCATATCCCCCTGAATCCTTTAGATCATCTCTAGATTGCTTATAATGCCCAAGACCATGTGAATGCTACATAAATACTTGTTACACTGTATTTGTTTTATTTGTATTGTAATTTTTATTGTATTTTTCCCCCAAATATTTTCTAACCGTGGTTGAATGTGCAGAAGCAGAACCCTCAGATAAAGAGGGCCAACTGTAATCTGAGAGAATTATTAGGTATGTTAAGTACATTATAGCTCAAACATAAGGTGGGTGCTATGACAATTAAAAGAAAAATATTTCAGGATTTATATTGACTTAGAAATCTTCCTAATTTAAAGACATGAAATCAAAGATAAGATACTAAATTTGAAGAGCAGAAATCTTTTGAGTGTTTTCTTAATGTGTTTGTCTGAGTCAATTAAGATTTACATTAATTCCCACAAATTTATAATCTGAGACATGGCATGTTCATACTACTCACCTATTGGACTTAACTCCATAATGAATGTCTATGTTGATGTTATAGGAAATGAATTCTTTTTCTTCTTCTCCTTCATCACCAACATCCTCTATAAATCATAATAAATACTGCATCAAATTCATATCAATATTTCCATTTTATCATTTATCAACTGCTTAGAGAATGATAATCCTCACCACCACCTCCCTGACATTTAAACCCCTATGTGACGTGACACTCCCTATTTTTCCCTTCCTACCCATTTCTTCTGACTTCTGACTCGGTCACTTATTTGCCGTGTGATCTTGGGCAAGGTGGTTAATTCTCTGCACTTCCACTTCCTTGTCTGGAAACAGAGTGGTGCTGCGCGCCTGGGGGTTGCTGGAAGGATGACCAAGTTGACACATGTGAAGTGCTGGAGCGGGGCCTGGCCTGGGCGGTGCCAGCTCGTGCTGGCCATGGCCAAGTAATCACCATCCCATCCCGGGAGTCTCGTCCCCTGTGCTCCAGACACAGAAGTCACTTTCCACCCCTGCTCTCAAGCATATTCTGCTCACTCAGCACAGAGTATGGGACAGGCATTTTACTAAGCACTTTATGTATACCATACATTTACCCCTGGCGGTAGGCATGACTATTATTATCCTTGTTTCCAGGTAAAGATAAGTAAATTGCTCATAGACACTCGACTGGAAAGCAACAAAGTGAGAATTGGAAAGTCTGTGATTCCAAAGTCCAAGCCCCTCACCAGTACGCAGCATGGCCTGTGTTATGCAAGGCTGGTCCCAGGGCAAACCCCAGTCAAGAAAAGGGCTCCGAGGCAACACCCCCAGGATCACTGAGAGGCGTTCCTGCAGCTTTCCCTCTGCTGTCACAGCACTTGTCAGAGTCTGCTCTGGGTCTGATTTACGAATGCCCCTTCCTCCCTGACTCTGTGTGAGCTCTCAGAAGGCAGGGTCCATGCTAGACTCCACAGAGCACAACACTTTGCACACAGCAGTCATTTTAAAAAACTTACTGGAATTTAGTAAGATAGCCTTAAGATACATGTGAACCAAATTTCTAAATAATTAAAAAAATCAAAATTAAAAAACTAAAATAAAAAATTTGTAACAACAGAAAACAATCCAAACCACTACCGATAGTACTAATTCACCAAGTACCTAAAGGTTCTAGTCAAATGATCTTTGCAATGATTTACTGTACAAAATGTGTTAGCAAAAATTACAATCTGTGGATTAATCTAACCTGCTTGTTTTATATACATGGTTCACCTTCACTTTTAAGTTATGATGGAATCGAAAAGAAAGTAGCTTCAACAGTTAGAAAACCTGGGATCAAGTCCTATTGCTTAGAAGCCCAGGTACTTTGGGAAAGTAATTTTTCTTCCGATGCACTTTAAATCAGTGAGATGTAAAAATGGGTGGTGGAAAAGGGGTAGAATATTGAGTTAAGTGGCCTATAAGGTTTTTTTAAGCACTAAAAACTATGAAATCTGGCTGTATAGAGCCTGAGAAAAAGCTATTATTTGCTTTGATAGTTTTCAGATGAGACAAATATATAAACTCACACTAAAGAGCATAAGATATTAGTATATTTATCTAGAAGACAAAAATTCTTCCAAATTATTGTTTTTGGTAAAATTTTAGGTAAAGAGAAGGAGTAGGTGGCAGAACATTCTAGTATGCCAGGTACTTCCTATTTTTTAAAATGACTATTAAAAAACCCTAAATCAATCAATCAATTTTTCTAACAACTCAAATGTGGGTAGTTATATCACAAGAGAAATCATACTGCCTGAAATCAGCCATGCACAACCATACATTATGACTACAATCTGTAAAATACAAACAGGGATAAAAAGCATAAAGAAATACTCCCAAACTGAAATAGTTGTCAGGGTGGTGAGATTGTGAAATATTTTCTCCCTCAATTATCTGAATGTTCCATAATACTGTTTTATGATTTATATAAAATGTCATCAAAATAACACCCACACAATATAGAAAAGTCACATTCTATAATCACCAAAAGAAATAATTAGAGACGGGGTCTCACTATATTGCTCAGGCTGGTCTCAAACTCCTGCGCTCAAGCAATTCTCCCACCTCAGCCTCCCAAGTAGCTGGGATTACAGGTGCACAGCTATGGTATGTTAACTTGGAATCATTTCTTCCCCCCTAGATAAAGACTCATCCATGTATACAAATGAAATCACACAGAAAACCTGCAGTCTGGACATGGCATCTCAGCACGTTGCCTGCACTTCCTAATGCAAACAGAGTTAAGGAACTAGGCATCATTCCAAGTGATGAGTCACAGCTATGTGGCAAATGCTCCAGTTCTGCACTAGGACTACTGCAATGCAGCAGAACGCTGCTTTGGCTAAGGAAGGCACACCCAATGACATAATCCTCAGTGGTAACGCAAATAGATATTCCCCACTGCTTTGTTAAATTCTAACTTCTAATGACAATAATTTGTGGAAGTCATTACTTATCAGTCATAGAATACATTTTGGATTAGTCTTTTTATGCATATTCTCTATAAATAGAGAGACCAAATGAAGTCTGTATTTATATAATGGGAGTAGGTTTGACTCTTATTTATAGATACACAACTTATGACATTGTTATATAAACTGCTATCAAACAATTTGAGCTTTTTGCCTCTCTATAAATTACATCTCTGTAAATTATTAAATTTTCCAAACAATAATTTGACATTTTACTTCTACAGAAGCTTTTTAAAAAATTGTTCAGAGGAGGAAAGATACTTAATTGTTAATTTTTAATAACAAGGAGGCTATTGATTCTGTTGTATTTAGAAGCTTAAATACAAACACAATCTGCATGTTTTATTAGGTAGTATCACTTTCGGTAAAGTTTGAATCAGTTTCCTGCTGTTTGATAAAGTTATTGGTAAATATAGCTAGCGCATAACAGTCAAAGACTCAAAGTACCAGCACAGAGAGAACTGGGCCTGCCTCATGAGTCCCTTCGCTGCAAGCTATGCTGACACACATTGCAATGACTTGCGGACACTTGGGTTAACTCCGGAGAATTTACTGACTTTCTGGAGATGTTCAGAATGGCATTTAGCACTGATCTGTGCATACTTCTACTGAAAGACTAGTTTAATGTATGTATTTTGCGCTACTAGTAATTCGTATCATTACACTGTGAATAAGGTGAGCATATGTCTTACCTAATGGAATATAAAAAAGGTGCCAAGTTCCATTACCTTAAGAATTATACCGCCCTCTCCGGTACAGACCTGCACGCTTCCTCGGGGTCTGGTGAGCAGCGGTCAGGGAAAGGGCAGAGCACACTGGTGGGGTGGGTGAGGAGGCCGCTGGCTCTTGCGCCTGGTCCTCCCCTCACTCACGCTTCCCTCCCGACTCTTTCCCAGACGCAGAGCTGCGTGTCTCTTCTCCACCTTGAGGGCGAAGCCACTCATTTCCTGTGGCCCACATACTCTTATCAAATTACTGGTTATGTGCTCTTGGTTCTCTTTATCTTCTTCTTTCCCTTTTGAAATCTAAAACATACTAATACTGCATTATTTTGTCTGATCACTATCATCCATGTCCCCGCCCACTTCTCTCAGGTGGTTGTTTCAGTTTTCCCCTTTCTCATCTCTGGTGCTTTCTCTTGTTACCTGGACGCCTGCCCTCTTGTCCTCCTGATGAGCCACGACCACTCGCTGCTCTGGTGCAAGTATAAGAACACGGAGACAGTCTGAACTTTCTCCTAACCCACAGACTTCCCTTGTAACACCAGCAGGAGTATGAAGGGAGCATTAAACTCCATATAACACTTGTATATTACATACAGTCACGTGGAGTTCATTTCGATTATTTCCATCAAAGAAGAGAATAAAAAAACTAATAAGTTATTAATACCTAACATAAGACTTAGTAGTTTTTAAGTTAATACTAATTCAAAAGAAATAACTGATCTAAAATAGACTAAAACCAACACTCTCAGGCCGGGCGCAGTGGCTCACGCCTGTAATCCTAGCACTCTGGGAGGCCGAGGCGGGAGGATGGTTTGAGCTCAGGAGTTTGAGACCAGCCTGAGCAAGAGTGAGACCACCCAAAAATAGCCGGGCATGGTGGTGCATGTCCCAGCTACTCAGGAGACTGAGGCAGAAGGATCCCTTGAGTCCAGGAATTTGAGGTTGCTGTGAGCTAGGCTGACACCATAGCACTCTAGCCAGGGCAACAGAGTGAGACTATCTTGAAAAAAACAAAAACATAAAAACCACTCTCATTTTAATGGATACCAAGGAAATACAAGGAGATTAGATTTTAGGTTTCAGAATCCTCTCAGAACATCCTTTTCCTAACTGGGTCTTAAAATCCTGGGGTTTTGGTTTCCTCATTCATGAAAGACAAGGGCTGGACTGAACCTCCCTTGCTACTCTCAACCTGACATTCTATGATGTTGATAAACAACTTCTATCCATCTTCACTTTTTTTTTTTAAGAGATAGGGTCTCACTATGTTGCCCAGGCTAGAGTGCAGTGGCTATTCACAGGTGTGATCATAGCACATAATAGCCTTAAATTCCTGGGCTCAAATAATCCTCCTACCTCAGCCTCCTGAGTGGCTGGTACTGCAGGCGTGTGCCACAGTGCTTGGCTCATCTTTAATGTTTAGAAAGAAGTGATTCTGTTTTCCCTTTGCTGTACATAAATTTCATTTACTATCCTACACTGTACATTCAAATTTATCTTGCTGCAGACTGGTTTGTCCTATGCAACGGTCCCCAACCTTTTTGGCACCAGGGACGGTTTTCATGGAAGACGATTTTACCAGGGACCAGGGAGGAGAAGGATGGTTTGGGGATGATTCAAATGCATTACATCTATTGTGCACTTGATTTCTATTATTATTCCATTGTAACATATAATGAAATAATTATACAACTTACCGTAGGTTGGAGACCCCTGCTAGGGCCCCACCTACAGTGTGACGGCATAAGATGGTGAGAATCAGGTTGGTGGACTCCTTCCTAGTGCTACAAGACAGTACAGTTTTACAGAAAATCCATCCTGTTAATCATTTTATTAACCATTTGGGATGGGCTAAGCAAAGGCCAGAAATAAATACTATACTTTTTATTCATCAGTCTACTACATTCCTTCATCCTTTAGGAAAATTAAATCCTCAGAAAAATAATTTTTATAAACCTACAAAACACTCCCTATAAAACTATCCACACCACTACATCTCTATGAAGTTCAGTACAATAAATAGCTCTAGATTTCTTTCACACCATGTCTGCACTACTGAAGAGGAGGTGAAACCCCCAACTTACCTACCTCAGGAAAAATAATAATTCCAAGCTTAAGCATTCACCACAGCCACTAAGTTTGACCATAAGGCAAGTGCCAAGCCTAAGAAACTTGAGTGTAAAAGAAAAAAACCAAAAAGCCACACTCATGCAAACAAACCAAGCAACTCAGCACCTGGTCCCAGCTTGGCCACTCCCAAGCTGGAGAAGTGCAGACAAGTCATGGAACTGTCAGCCCAGCAGCTAAGAACGGAAGCACGCCGATCTTGTTCCTGTCTCCACCATAGGAAGGTACCACCCAACCTCTCACGGGAATAAAACATAACGGAAAAAAATGCACTTCAAGTAAAAAGTGCTATAGAAATGTCAGCAACATTTTAAAATCCCTAGTTCAGTAACGAGCACCTATTTTGTCACATTTTTATAAGTATACTACAAAGACGGTAATTTCCTACAGGCCAGCAATTACAGAAAGGACATTTCTCTTTTCAAAATGAGGAGCTGTAACCTAACGTTCCCTTTCCCATCAATTCTTCAATTTTTCACTATCCAAATGAACCGCTAAATTTACAACCTTGAGTGATGCTGGGTTTTTTATTATTATTATTTTTATACACAGTCTTGTTCTGCTGCCCCAGCTAGAATGAAGTGGCAGGATCACAGCTCACTGCAGCCTCAAAGTCCTGGGCTCACGTGATCCTCCTGCCTCAGTCTCCCAGTAGCTGGGACTACAGGCATGCACCACCACTCTCAGTTAATTTTTCTTATTTTTTATAGAGACAGGGTCTTGTGCCTGGGGTGGTCTCAAACTCCTGGGCTCAAGCAGTCTTCCCGCTTTAGCCTTCCAAAATGCTGGGAGTACAGCTTTGAGCCACCATGTCCGGACAAGTAATGCAACGCTGTACTTCAACAAAAGTTTACAGCTAGCGGAGTGTGGCTATGTATATAACTTTATATAAAAATGCTTCTATATTCAATTATAAGCATTTGGAAACTTCTTTCCATTAAAAAAAAAAGAAGAGGATAAAATAAAAGCTAAAGCAATTTCTCTTGTTCATTAAATAAATTATATGTCTTCATTGGTGGTAGTCTTTTTTTTTGAGACATGATCTCGCTCCATTGCCCAGGCTGGAGTGCAGTGTCATCATCATAGCTCACCCCAAGCTCAAACTCTTGGGCTCAAGTGATCCTCTTGCCTCAGCCTCCAGAGGCGCACGCCACCATACCCAGCTAATTTTTCTATTTTTTGTAGAGACAGGGTCTTGTCATTTTGTTCAAGCTGGTTTTGAACTCCTGAGCTCAAGCAACCCTCCTGCCTCAGCCTCCCAAAAGTGCTAAAATTACAGACAGGCGTGAGCCACCATGCCTAGCTAGGAGGTAGTCTTTATTTAGTTTAAACAATTCAGATCTGTTTTCTAAATTAACACAAGCCTACCTTTTCAGTGGTCACACATATTTGATTAAATGTACAAATGCCGAGGCTAACTCATAAAAAACACACAGAAGAAACCCCTCCTACCAAGGGTCCTGGGTCTGTATTTGTATCTACATTGTCCTTGTGTAGACAGGATGCTATTAAGACCAATGAGACCACATATCATAAACTTGGATTAATTTTTAAATCTTTCCTTAGATTTTCGTAAGTGAAAATCAAATTATAGACAGGTTGAAATGCTAGAAACACTTTGGGTATTTTTATAAATACAAGAATGAGGTAGGATTTCAGTTTCAAATAATCTCATTCCTTATTCAACTTTCAAAAGTGCAAGTCATTCTGCAGCCAAGATTTGGATGCCTGAATATTCGTTCTGCTGAAAAGAAGGAAATGTACCCATAAAGACACAGAGATGATTTGCACTAGACAGTGTACTACAGAAATATACCCCCCCAATAACTTTAGTAAAGCTCAATTCTAAGATGTCTGAGAAAAGTTAATTACTGATGATCACTTTAGAAGCAAAGAATAAAACTTAATTTTTTTCACAAAAAGAAATTGTGAACCAAGGCAAAAAAAAAATCACTGATTTCAATACATAAGCTGTGCAATAAAAACATGATAAAGAATCAGCCATGGTCAAACTACTCAAAATAAAATAATTTAAAAAATCCAGCCTAAAATTGTATAAAATACATGCACTGAAAAAGACCAGAAACACATACACCAAAATGCTGACCGTGGTTATATCTGGGTCAAAGGATTCCAAATGATTTTTATTTTATTTGTATAAATTCCCTATCACGGATATATATGTTTTTGGAAAAAAGAGTAGATGAGTTAAAAAAAATTTTTAAGCACTTGTGGTTTCCATGCAGGAATATATAACCCCAAATGTATAACAGTAAACAACCCTAAACAACATCGACACTCTAAAGACGCCTGAATGGTTTATTTGCTGTGAACATTCCATGCAGATCTAAGAAAAATACTCCTCTGTACTTCCCTAACCTCTGGCAGACTCCAAGGCTACAGTGAAGCATCTTCTGAGTAAGAATAGCCTTTGAAAGAAACAAACTATCAGAAAGAAACACAAGTGCGTGTGTTGAGGACTGGGCAGACAGCACAGGTTCTCTTAGTGGCAGAACCATTCTTGTTTTTTTTGTTTGTTTGTTTTTTTAATTATAATAAGCTTACCTGCAAACATTTGCAGACAACCCCTATTCCCTAGGTGCTAACCGTAAAACCTACTTGGAATCATCCCTGGGTTCCTAGGTGGACCCGCCACACCCATACATAGGGTCCTCAATACTGACTACAAAGTGACTTTAAAGAATCAACGAGAAACCCTCCCTGCAGGCTCGCTCCAGAGGGCTCAAGAAGAGTCTAGCCTTGCTCTGAAGAGGTCACTATTTGAGGAGATAGCAGGAATATGCAAACCTTTTGCCTCCTCCCCCCAGTAAGTGCTTAACCTGAATCTTTTTTAAAAAAAATCTGTAAAAATCAGACTCAAATATCACAGTGCTATCACTACAATCATGAGCATCACACGAATATCGATTAGAAGGGACGATGAGTGCAAACAAGCAGCAAAGCTGGAAACTGAGCTGTCGAGTCTAGTCTAAGGACCAAGATTAGCTCAGCAGGACTTGGAGTGAGTCACTTCACGTGTGCCTCAGTTTCCTCACACGTACACTCGGGAGATACACCCACTCCGGAAGGGTGCTGCGAGGACCGACATGGAGACCTACACCAGAGCACCACGTACGACGGGGATGCCGGCGGCCGGCAGAGGCGGGCACCGCCCTCCTGCGGGCCTCGGGCCCGGATCCCACCCGGCGGGGAGGGACGCCCGCCCGCCACGGCCGGCCCCAGGGCGCCGCGGGTCCGCCCCACACGGCCGCCCCAGGGCGCCGCGGGTCCGCCCCACACGGCCCCGAGCCGGCGCGGCCGCAAAGCGAAAGCGAGCGGCCATGTGACCGCGGGGCAGGACGGCCTCCGCCCGCGCCGGCCCGGGACCGTCTCCGCCCAGCTCGGCCATCTTGAGCGGCCGCGCACACAAAGCGGCCCATTGTTCGGGCGGCGACACGGGCGCCCTCGCGCGCCGCGGCCGGCCGGCGGTGGGTGTGGAGGAGCCGGCGCGGCGGCCGTGGGCCGGCGGCGGCTGCGTGAGGCCGGCCGCGGCTCCCGCCGAGCGCCTGCGAACGCCGGGAGCGCCCGCCCACGGGGCGTGCGGCCGCGGGCCGGCCGCGGGTGTCCGCCGCCCGCAGACCCGGACACCCCCGCCCGCGGCGCCGGCCGGCCGCCGGCCCGCTCTGCAGGCGTCGGGCGCCGCGGCCCCGCAGGCCGCCCGGCCCGGCGCGCACCTTTGAGGGTGGAGCGCTCCACCAGCACGGTGTGGACCTGCGGGTCCGAGAGGAACTTGCGCATCTGCTCCAGGGCGCTCTTCTCCTCCAGCGCCGCCTCCAGCGCGGCGGGCGCCTCGCCGCCGTCCTCCAGCAGCAGCGGCACCAGCTTGCGCAGGTGCTTCTGCAGCACCGACACGTCGGCCACGTTCTGCACGGCCGACACCTCCAGGCCGGCCGAGCCGTCCTCGCCGCCGCCGCCGGGCTCCGACATGGCGCCGCGCTCGGGGCCCGCGGGCAGCGCTCAGGGCCGACTCTGCGCGCGAGCGAGCGGGCGAGAGAAACGGGCGCCGGAAGCCGGGCCGTCCGCTAGCCCACGGAGGACTGAGAGAGCGGGGGCCGGCTCCGCCCCGACGCAGCCCCGCCCGCCAGTCCGCCGGCCGCAGCCGCCGGCGCCCACTCGCGCCAGCGTCACGACGTCGCGCATGCGCGGGCCGGGCCCGGCTGGGCGCCGCCGCGCGGCCTTCTGGGACTTGTAGTCCGGCGCGGGGCCCGCAGTCCCAGCGCGGTCGGCCCCGGAGAGGTGCGGACTTCGTCTGTGCCCGGTCGGCGCCGGCCTCAGGGGCCTGTTCACTGCTGTGGACGCAGCGAGTGGCCCAGAGCCCGAGAAACTCCGTAAACAGCGGACAAGTGATGTTAATGACAGGAGCTAATTTATATTGGTGTGTTGGGCACTTAGCCTGCGTTCGCCCCTTGAATGAATGAATGACCACGTGCTAAGTGCCAAAATACAGGCACAGTATCTGCCTTGTTAGATATTTATGGGGGAGCGAGACTATGTTTCGGAGGCGGAGGAGATGAGCAGCGTGCCCAGAAGCTGACCCTGCTGGGCTGGAAAGGGTTCCTGGCAGAGGAGCGAGCCTCTGCCAAGGCAGAGTGGCCTGGGGCTGGGCGCCGACTGCAGGGCTGCAGGGGCCGTTTGAGGTTAAGCCGAGAATGACACACCTGAGCGGGACGTAAAACCAAGCTGCCATGGGACCTACCTCCTACTGGCCAATCATTCCCCCCAAGGATTCTGAGGACCAGGAGGGAGACCTACATGAGAGCATCTTTTGAGCATCTTCCTGCAACAGTGAAGCTCCTCCAGCAGCCCAGAGCTGCTGTGGGCTTCAGCACCTGGGCCCTGCAAGGCAAGCCCTGGGCTGCCTGCTCACTAAGGTTCCCCCTCCTTCTGACTCACCTGGACTTCCACCCCTGCACCAAGACTACGTAAGGGCCAGAGTACAAGCTGCCCACATTTGTAGTTTAGAGATGGTAGTTTCTGCCAAGGGGTAGTAACTGGCCTTTGACAGTTTAAACTCATAACTTGCTTCTTAAATTGGGTGGAGGGAGGGAAGCCAAAGGCGTTTCTTAGTATCAAAGTGCATTGTCAGCTGAGTCCTGATTGGTGGAATGATGTTGGTATGATTCGATTCTCCCAAATCATCTTTGGAAAAACGTGAAACATACAATATGCTTATTCCTTGCTTAATTACCGGGCGCCAAACCCCAGGGGCTGCTGGAACAGGGAGACTAATCAGATGATTCTTGTCTTTAAGGAGCTTATGGAAGAGGGGACAGCTTAATACCTCATCCTCCTGCCTTCCATCAGACCACCATCCTGTGATATGCCCAAGCAGTTCTAATGATCTTCCAGGGGGAAAAAAAATAAATAAATGAAACAATTGCAATGAGCCTGTCCTATGATCATAATAGTAATGAATAATAACAACACATCACCAACAGCTAACACTAAGTGCTCACTTCATGCTACGCTAAGGGTTTCCCTTCATATATCCTTAGGGGCAGGAACAGGGACCAAGAGGAAAATATATTAGGTACAGGTCAGTGAACTCTGAATAGGCCACGCAGCATCCGAGACTCAGAAACCCGCAGGGACCTGGCGGAGAAGCAGACTGCATGCTGGCTGCACCGTGAGTCAGCACCAGCCTGGGAGACAGCCACTCAGGCGTCGGAAGGATTCAAACATCTGCAACCGGGCCCGAAGCCAAGGGAACAAGACATCAGGTTCCAGATTTACAGCCCCATGTGATAGGCTCAAAACTAAAAGTGTTCATAATTTCTAAGGGGATGGAAATTGGGGGAACCTGAACAGTCAATATACAAGGATTCATACATCGACCAAACGTGCTTGCTTTTCTGTTCTCTAAAGATGTTTGTTGTATTTATCATATAATAAGAATGGTAAACATCGATTGGGTGCTTGCCGTACACACGGTGCTGCACATTTTAAGCGCATCATTCCGGAGGCTGGCTAGGCTGCCCCAGGGCTGAAGGGTGAAGGGAGCTTTTTTCAAGGTGCCCCTTCTGCCTCCTGGCACAGGACTCTGGCCCCATCACACCCCAAGCTGACCCTGGGTTGGGGTGGGGCCCTCCACCCAAAACTCGGCCTCTCCCATGCCCCTGCTTGTGTGGCCCCTCAGCGTTCTCCTGTCGGTGGCAGTCTGCTTGCATTTGGCGGTGGGCAGGGAGTGCTGGAGAAAGAGTTTATTCTAAGTTGCTGTGCGATGATAGTGGCTGGTGGAGCACTTGTATTTTATCAGAAGGCGGTGATGAACTGTCTACGTAGGAGGGACTGTGTCCTTTCCCCACCTCTCTCTTTAAAATACCGGACGTGGTGGCCCCTCAAGTCCAAGGTGGTGCTCAGTGTCATCCCCACCCTTCCTCTCCAGCTCCCTCTCCCAACCCTTGGGCAGCACCAAGCCCTTCAGTGGAGCCCTGCGGGCCTGTCACCTTCGGGCCCTGCGCCCTTGTCTCCCTGGGAAGTCCGCGATGGGCTGGCCGACTCGTTCATTCATTCCGTAGGTTAACCACCCCACTTCTGGGAGCAGGGAGATCTAACCTCTCGGCATTCTCAGTGCCAGCAGGCCTGGGCCCGAGCGGGCGCTGGCTAAGGGGTGTGAAGCCGATGCCTTGCCCCAGGAATGGTGCTAGCGGTGGCAGCAGCGGGGGAGCACCCGGAGCGGTTTGGGTTTGGACCTTCCTGGCTGCGGGGGTCCAGACCACACACCCTTCGGGCTGCCAGGGCGCTGCTGCAGGGCTGGGCTGGAGCTTCCCGGGGTTCACGGGCTGCACGACACTTTCCCGGGACACGCGTTCCAGGCCCCCACCCCCTTTTCTGTCCCTGTTTCTTGTCAAGCGAGCCTCAGGGCGGGGCTGGAACCGAAGCGGTTCCCGGCGGCGCGGAGGCCCGCAGGGTGGCGCGGCGCGGCGGGAGGGGACGCGCCCCGCGCGCACAGGACAGTCTCCTGGCGCCCTCTGGTGGCGAAGGGCAGGGCCACAAGGCGCAGTCTGCGTGCCGGCCACCCAGGTGGCACCCAGGTGGCACCGCCAGGCTCTCCGTGCCAACGTCACCTGGGTCGCTTGTCCAGGGTCACAGAGCAAGTAGTAACAGTGACCAGAAGGCCACTGCCCCTGGGGCAGACGTCAGCGAAGCCTGTCCCTAACTGCACCGACAGTTCGCACCAGGCTCTCCGGACCGCTGGATCTGGGGGGCTGCCCGCCGGGGACCCTCTGAGACCCCCGACGCTGCCCCGGCCCCCGTCTGGAGGCCCCTTCTCCTACCACAGACGGAGTCCCCGGCCAAGGCCGCTGCTCCCTGGGTGCTCTGGACCCGCCCCTCTCTGGGACATCACCTCTGAAATTCTCTCCTTCCTCCCAAATGTCCTCTCCCCCTCCTGAATTCTTTCCGACCTTCCCTAACCGCGTCCCTTCTTTAACAAGAGAAAAAAGAGGAACCCCTGCCACCCCTCCTGCCCGCACCTCGCCATCACTTTGCCGCCCTTCCCAGCAAAACCCCTGGAAAACCAGAGAGCCTGGGCCCTGCCTCTCGCTCCGCCTCCAGCGGCTCGGCTTTCCCACCCCCACGCTCCAGGGCAGGTGCTCTGGTCAAGGTCACCAGAGGCCTCCGTGGCCAGATCCAGTGACCAGTTCTCGGTGCTCGCTCGCCTGAGCACCTGCACGGCGCTGGCGCAGCGGGCGCTGCCTCCCGCGGTGCTCGGTCACCTGCTGCGCTCCTGCCCCTCGCCACTGCAGCTCCTTCTCCGTCTCCCGCGCTAGGGACACTCCCTCCTCGGGCTCCCCCCGCCCCCAGTACAGCTGTGCCCTGCGGACGCCCGGCTCTGGAAGGTGTGTTCTGCTGCCCGGTGGAGTGTTCTGAAAAAAATGTCGATTAGGCCAAGTTGGTTGAAAATGTTGTTCAAGTCCTCTACATTCCCAATCGTCTACTATGCACTTGTTTTTATCGGTTATTGAGAGAGGGGCGTTGAAATCTCTGATTATAATTGTGGATTTATCTCTTTCTCCTTGCAAGTTGATACATTTTTGCTCTAGTTTGAAGCTTTGGTGTTAGCTACACACACATGTATCACTGTTGTATCCTTGTCCTGAATTGACCTCTTTGCCATTTTGAAATGTTTCTCTTCATTTCTGGTGACATTATTTGCTCTAAAATCCACTTTGACATCCACATAGCTACTCTAGCTCTCTTTTGATCAGTGTTAAACAGAGTATATCTTTTCCCGTTCTTTATCATTTTTTGGAGAGTCTCCCTCTGTCGCCCTGGGTGGAGTGCAGTGGTGTCATCATGGCTCACTGCAACCTCACACTCCTGGGCTCAAGAGATCCTCCTGCTTCAGCAACCTCCCAGCGCCCCCAGCCGCTGGGACTACAGGTGGGCCACACCTGGCTAATTTTTTCTATTCTCGGTAGAGGCGGGGTCTCACTCTTGTTCAGGCTGGTCTTGAACCCTGAGCTCAAGTGATCCTCCCTCCTCAGCCTCCTACAGAGCTAGGCTTACAGGCGTGAGCCACTGTGCCCTGCCTTATTCTTTAATCTATTTGTATCTTTACATTTAAATTGGGTTTCTTGAAGGCAGCATATTCTCCACTCTTGCTTTTTTTTTTTTTTTAATCATATCTGACACTTTCCACTTTTGGGGGGGTTGATTATGCATGTCGATGGGTGCCAGTCTTCCATTTTGCTATTTGTTTTCTATTTGTCCCACCTGTGCTTTGTCCAGAATTGAACTCTTGAGTCCCCTCAGCCTCTTCTTTCCCCAGAGCTCCCGTCTCAGCCAGTGCCACCACGGCTCACCCTGATGCTCAGGCCAAAGCCCTCGCCACCCTCAACACCTTTCATTCCTTCCTGTTTCTGTCTGATGGAAACATCGGAATATTCCCTACATCCAACCTCTCCCCACCTGCGCTGCTGCTGCCCCGCCTCAGACCTCTCTGGCGCGGCAAGAGCTGCCCACAGGCCGTTCTGCGTACAACAGAGGGACCAGCCTTTGTAAACAGGCCAGAGTCACCGGTTCTGTGCCCAGATGCTCCCCTGTTGCTCATCTCTCCTGGAGGGAAAATGTCCTTGGCTTGTCCTGTGAAGCCCTGCGTGACCTGGCCCTTGGCTCTCCCTGCAAACCCCCTCTCCCCTCGACTGGCCCTGCTGACCTCCTTGTTGTTCCCACATCCCAAGAGACATGCCCCAGCCGAGGGTCTGTCTTTCCATAATAGAATGCGTTTCCTCCCAGACCTTAAGTGGCTCACTCCTCCTCCCGGCGCAGGCCTCTGCTGAGCTTACCATTTTAGAAGAGAGGACCTGTCCACCCCCTTCTCCAAAGTGACGCTCCCACTGCTCTCCCCTGCCTGGCTTTATTTTTCTTCAGAGCACATTTCTCTGTGTGACACATATTTGTGCTTCTTGTTGATGGTCAGTGTCCCACAACCCAGCATGTGGTCCCGTGAGGGTGAGTCTCCCGAACTAGAACTGCACCGAGCTTGCCGTGGGTGTGGATCACGATCCGGGCATGCATATGGGAACAGAGTTCTTCGGTGTCCACTGGGGGATCACAGGGTGATTCTAAATCAACAGAACTTTTTTTTTTTTTTTTTTTTTTTTGAGACAGAATCTCACTCTGTTGCCCAGGCTAGAGTGCCATGGCGTCAACCTAGCTCACAGCAACCTCAAACTCCTGGGCTCAAGCGATCCTCCTGCCTCAGCCCCCGAGTAGCTGGGACTACAGGCATGCGCCACTGCACTCAGCTAATTTTTTCTATTTTTTTAGTGTTTGGCTAATTTCTTTCTATTTTAGGAGAGACGGGTCTCACTATTGCTCAGGCTGGTTTCGTACTCCTGACCTAGAGTGATCCGCCCGCCTCGGCCTCCCAGAGTGCTAGGATTACAGGCGTGGGCCACCGCGCCTGGCTTGAACAGAACTTTTAAAAAACGCATTGCTCAATGACTAAGTGACACACACATCAAAGCCTATTTGTAAAGGTACTGCCTTATCTCACTTCTCCGATGTCACAATGTGCATTCAGCAGCCCCCACGCCGAACACATGCTAAACCTGCCTAATTCCTCCCTGGCCTTTGCTGTGTCCCCATCCGTAGTTAGGGTGGGGCACTGTGCGTTTCTTTATTTCCTCAAGACTTTGAGAAGAGGCGACACAAATGCAAGGTCTTGGTGCACCCTCATGCAGAGGCGCTTGATGGGATATCTGGGGATTCGGAGCTGCTCTTTGTGGGTTGAACAGTTTCAACTCCAGGCTGGGTGCCATGGCTCACACCTGTAATCTCTGCACTCTGGGAGGCCGAGGCGGAGGATCACTTGAGGTCAGGAGTTTGAGAGCAGCCTGAGCAAGAATGAGACCTAGTCTCTACAAACAATAGAAAAATCAGCCAGGCATCGTAGTATGTGCCTGTAGTCCCAGCTACTCAGGAGGCTGAGACAGGAGGATGTCTTCAGCTCAGGAGTTTGAGGGTGCAGGGAGCTGTGATGATGCCACTGCACTCTAGACTAGCAGACAAAGCAAGACCCTGTCTCAAAAAAAAAAAAAAAAAAAAAGAAATTTTCAGCTCTACCGTATGTTCAAACATTTCAATAATACAATGTTAGAAATATGTATATATGCTAACAACTGAATAACTTTTTAGAAGTGTACAATTTCCTTTTGAATCACCTGACCTAATTATTTTATGCTAATCAAGAATCACTGTGTTTATTTCCAGTTTTTGCAGTTGCACTTGTTGTAATTATATAATTTAATTCAATTCCTGTGACTCAATGAAATACAAATATAAAAAAGTTGTTTTCATGAAAACTGAGTTGAGAGCTTTGGAGAGA